TCTGTCACATACATGCTGTGGAGCTCACAAACTCTGTCTCTCTCAGACACTTTATTTCTTTTGAAGCCTGTTCAAGCCAAACCTACTCAATGTTGACACTGAATAATTTTAATTGTTATTACAATAACATCCAGTGGTGCTTAGTTTGTTATTTCATTTGGTTCAATGATATTTGTAAAATTTAGTCTGCTTTACTTTGTGTTGTTAACATAATTTCAGAGGTTAAAAATCACAAGATCAATACCTGATTTTAATTTAGTTTTGATCTTTACTGATTAAACATAAAACTACTGTATGTAAATTCTCTTGTGGCCCTCTCATGGACAGAGTGTGTGTGTGTGTGTGTGTGTGTGTGTGCGTGCGTGCGTGCGTGTGTGTGATGGGAGGCCTGGGAACCTCCTCACACACACAGACACTCACCTCCTTATCGCACACTGAGAACTAACAGGCCTTGGTAATTCATGGCTACAGAAGGGGACTGAAGAATCTCTGTGTTTTTATTTATATGTGTCATCTTCTATCACACAGAATTGATGGACTTGTTCTTTGATGCTGACTCACAGACAACAACAAACCTCCCAGTTTGTTTGTGTAGAAAGCAGGTTAGCGTTCTGACAGCATCAATAGTTCTAAAACTCTGTGTCCTCCCTTTTTTTTGATAGAAAGATCAATTGTTTTTGCTCAAAGCAGAAGAAGAAAATATTCACTGTCAGTGTTCCCTCAAAGCCTGTGGCCTTTTGTCCATTTGTGGTACGTGTTCCCACAGTGTAGCCGTTAGCATGCCTGCCTCGAGAACAGAGAGTCCTGGGTTCGATTCGCAGAGGAACCATATGCTTGAAAATGTGAATCCTCCAAAAAAAGTGTCTGCTAAATGCATAAATCTCATGCAGTGCTTAATATAAAAACAAAAGGAACTGATAAGGATTTCTTTTTTTTTCCTCCACAGTACCACAGGTCCTCAAGAGCTGCACGGAGTTCATTGAGAAACACGGTGTGGTGGACGGCATTTACCGTCTCTCTGGAATTGCTTCAAATATCCAGAAACTGCGGTGAGAAATACTCAAATACTCAAATACTCTAAACTGTGGGCTATATATAAGTGGTGTAATAGTACGATGACGTGTACAGTTGAGTCCAGCAATGATTGCATCATAGTTGGGGTCATTGCTGGACTTCAGACTCTGGGTCTTTGTGTTTTGTATAACAAAACTTATATCTTATAAAGGTGTTGTTCCTGCTTCCCAATTTGAATAATTTTGTCTTGCATGACATTTTTGTTTTCTCACTACATTAATATTTCCAAATTATTTCTTAGTTTAAGGTAGACATTCAAGCTCAACATTGTGTCGGCAGCTTGTCTCATTTGCAATGTAACAGAAAAAAACTAGGTTAACCTCAGGGGCTAGTCAGTGTTTATTGACAAGCTATGTTTTCCACAGATACAGAGTTCTGTATTTCAGTGGTCTGAATGTGTCAGAAGTCTGTGTATCAGTGAGCTGGTTCTGACAGACCGGAGATAAAACCTGGCAAGGGAAAACAAACTAGTACCATAGACTGGAGTATGTTCTGTTACCAAAAAAAACTGATAACACAGACATAAAGCCTCCTTAAGTGAGTTGGTTTGGACCACCCATCAAAAATATGTCATTGTTTATTTCCTCTCTCATCAGACATGAGTTTGACTCTGAGCAGATCCCTGACCTGACCAAAGATGTTTACATCCAGGATATCCACTGTGTGGGCTCGCTGTGTAAGCTCTACTTTAGAGAGCTGCCCAACCCCCTGCTCACCTACCAGCTCTATGAGAAGTTCTCTGTAAGCATATCGCCGGCAGCACTAATCACTCCTCACACACTTCACTCACGATGTCCATGAACATTACTGTTACAGCAGTGACTTTCAAGGCTGCGTTTACAATCCCCTCTACGAAGAGTTATGGGAGTTGATTGATTGATTACAAGATTGCATTCTGTCTTTAGAACAATACATTCCTCAGGTTCATTCTGCACAAGTGTCGTAAAAATGAGTCACTGTCACTTTAATTAATTTGACAGCAGTGTACTTGACACACTCTGTCCTTATGCAGCAGTCACAGTGTGTGTGGATTAAAATAAAAACAATAACTTTCTCCAAGTACAACAGAGCTATCCCTGAGGATGAAGTAAATGTTTGCTGGTTGTTATGGCAGCCTGGAGAGAGGAGCGGGTTGGCTGGTGTTCCACTCATGATCCATGTCGTGCTGTGAACACCAGTGAACAAGCTTAACATGTTCACTCAAACATCCCATCTTCCTGGTCTTACATCATTTCCTTTTTCTCTGTAGGAGGCTGTATCAGCAGCCACAGATGAAGAGCGGCTCATTAAAATTCATGATGTCATCCAGCAGCTTCCGCCCCCGCATTACAGGTCAGTGTAGAGGCACACTGCCCCCCACTGGAAAACACAGTGGTTGCCAGATGTTTGGTGTATGTTGTTAGTGTCAGCTTTATATACTTTATATATATATATATATATATATAGTAAAGTAAAAGGGAACAATTTGTCATTGGTAATCAATCTAATATTAAGCTATATCAGTGTAAATAGTGTAAATATTCAAGCACAAAAAATTGGTGTGCTGCAAACATCACTGGGTCATTTTGACCATTAATGTGTACATTATTAGTGGAACAATCTGAATCTAAATTAAGGATGGTTTGATCCTAGAACTCTGGAGTTTCTCATGAGGCACCTTTCCAGACTGGCAGCCTTCAGCTACATCACCAACATGCACAGCAAGAACCTGGCCATCGTCTGGGCCCCTAATCTGCTGCGGTGAGCCCTGTGTAAACTGTTATATGGTTAACATAGCTGTTATTGTGACCTTGAAGCTGCCTTACACAGTATTTGTAGACTTGTTTGGCGGAAAATCTATAAATGTAAGCCAACCACTGCTTTTTACATTGATCTTTCTGTGTTTTCTGCTTAGATCAAAACAGATCGAATCAGCTTGCTTTAGCGGCACAGCTGCCTTCATGGAAGTAAGGATCCAGTCAGTGGTGGTGGAGTTCATCCTCAACCATGTGGATGTTCTCTTCAGCACTAAGCTCAGCTCATTAATACGAGAGGGAGCAGGTACATGCAAGAGGCTGCTGCATAAATTATTATACCTCTTTGTACTGCACATTTGCTCATGGTTTTTTGTCAAACTAGGCCTGAACTCACTGTCTCGGCCCAAGTCACTGCTGGTTTCATCTCCCTCCACTAAACTTCTGAGTCTGGAGGAAGCCCAGGCCAGGACTCAGGCTCAGATCAACTCTCCCGTCACTGAGGACAGCAAGTACATCGAGGTGGGAGAAGGTCCAGCTGCCCTGCAGGGAAAGTTCCACACCGTTATCGAGTTTCCCACCGAGAGGTTTGTTGACTCCTACTGATAGACCAGATTCATAAAACAAATATAGGAAATGTTGGAGACCTTATTATTTGTTACTAAAAAATACAGTGCATTTAAATTCTACTGTTTGTGTTTCCCTCTGCTGGTTACTAATAGAATTGCAGGCAAACTCACTTACCCTGCACCAAGTTGCCAGTTCTGGCTGTCTTTAGTTTTTCATAGCCACTTGTATTAAAATAAATGTTGCTTTTATTTTTGTAGGAAAAGGCCACCTATTAAATCTAAGAAGTCTCCTGTGGGGAGTTGGCGTTCTTTTTTCAACCTAGGCAAATCGTCCTCCATGTCAAAGCGCAAGCTTCATAGAAATCCCAGTGAGCCGAATGAACTGAAAGCTATGGCCCTCGCAGGTAAGTCTTTTCTTCACAATGGAAAAGATAACTTGCATTATTTACACGTAAATACTGACCCGTGTCAACCAATATTTTTCAGGAGGCAGAGGAGAAACTGCAACATTAAGATCAGCCAAAAGTGAAGAGTCATTGAGTTCCTTGCATAATGTTGAAGGTAATTCTGATTGTCAGCATAATTAGTTTAAATATCTTATGCAACCCAAAAACTGTGGCTGTCACACTTAGAGCGTAGTGAATTGTTCCCAATTAAATCTTTCCCATTTCACCAGGGGAAGCTAAAGTGTATCGTCCTCGGAGGCCACGCTCCAGCAGCGATGCCCTGTCAGCCTCCTTTAACGGTGAGCTGCTAGACAGCCGACAGCACTGCAACTCCTACGACAACCTTGACGCCACAGAGGAAAGTGATGGAGATGATGGGCCCATCTGCGTGCCTGCTCTAATCTCACCTCCTCGCTCAGCAGGTGAAGACGTGGACCTCAGCCCACCGGACATTGGCATGGCCTCTTTGGACTTCGACCCAATGTCTTTCCAGTGCAGTCTCCCAGACACGTCTTACGCCTTCCCCGTGGATGACTCGATAAGCGGTGCTGAGGCCTCCACATTAAAAAGGAGCCCTGGCAGCATCTGTGGTAAAACCAATGGCCCTGGTGTCTCCACTTCCTTTTTGGGCTGCTTGACCTCCCCAGTATTGTCCACAACCTTCATTTCAGCTGCTGGAGAAAACATGGAAAACAAAAAACTTCCAACATCCCATTCATACAGTGACAAACCTACACAGGCTGTGTCACCCATTAAATGCAGTAAAGCCATCAGTATGACACCTTTTCCTACTTCAGAGCTTTTCACTACAGAAATGCCTGACAAAAGTAAAGGTGGACAGGCTGTTGCTGCACCATCGTTAGCTCCACCTGCAATTCCAAAGGACTCTTCTAACCCAACGGGCAGCGTGCTGCTCAGGCCAAAGGAGCGGCCACTTAGTGAAGCATTCCAAATGGAGCTACAGTCTAAGCTGACGGCCTTTGAAAGTACAGAGAGTCAAGAAAGGACAGTAGAGGAGAGTGTCCAGCAGACACCAGCTGCCAGCCACCAAGATCTTCAAGGTAAAGAACAAACACTGTTTTTTATCAAGCTTCTGAGTCTAGAGGTAACCTTCACGTAGCAGGATCAAACAAGTGTCTTAGTGCTGATGTAAAAACACATCTGTTGTCAGTTTACACCCAAACCTGGTCGTGTACAACAGGGACAGATAAAACTGCGTCTCTGCAACATGCAACTTAACATAACACATAATAGTCATATGTGCACAGAAAAAAAGTATTCAAAACTCTGACTGCTAAAAGGTCTAATTGCTAAAATCTGTATTTAAGAGGTACACTGTGCAGGGTTTATGCAGCATCTAGTGTTAAAGATCTATGTTTTGGTTTAACGGCTTCAAACTGTGTAGGTTAACATGACAAAAATCACATTTTATTTAAACAAAATAATTTTGTCTTAATTTTAAAAATGTTTTAGATGCAATTTAAACACCCCCTTCTTTCACTCCTAAAGCACCTTAAACCTACCTGCCTGCTGCCTTTTTGTTCACTCACCCACTGCTGTCTTGCCTTGTGATTATTGAACTTTAGAACCCCCTGTGTTTTTGTATCCCAATAGGAGTTGTAGCTGCGGACACTTCAAAGGACCCCACCCCTTATTCTCTCAGCGCCACAGCCCCAACCTCTGCCCCTCCTCCTCCCGCTCCTCCTCCTAAAAATGCTGCCCGCATGTTGGCCCTGGCCCTTGCTGAGTCTGCCCAGCAGGTCTGCCTCCAGTCTCAGTCACGGTCCTCCGAGCCCTCGACACCGAACCTCCAGTCACAGGATACCTCTGAAGACTTAACACCTGCACTTGCACCACAAGTCACGGCTTCCTGTGAGGAGAGAGCTGAACAAACGTGTCCTCCTCTACCACAGCCACCACCAACTACTGCCACGGCTGTCATCATGGCATCATCCATTCAGCTCCATCAAGTTCATCTCACCTCAACATCTAATCCTACAACCAAGCAGCAGCAGCAGCCAGTAGAGGTCACAGGCACGGTCACCAAAACTATGGAAAGTGCTACATCTTTGAGAAGTCCGCCTGAAACACATCCACCAATAGAGTTCCCCTCACATGACACCCCTCTGTTAAAGTGTCCCCCACTTCCCACTACAATCAACCCAACCTCTCCAACAAGGACAAGTCCAGAAAGGCTGCAGATCCTCACAGGGCCGGTCCATACCAGCTCCACCCCAGCCCCGATCCAAAGTGGCAGCGGTAAAGTCATACCACAGCCTGGTTCTGAGGTTAGTACTGTGTTCTAAGGTGATTATGTGTTCTGTGTTTATTTCTAATTAACAGATGCATATTATCATAACAGTTAAACTTCATTTGAAATAATATATTCAGCATTGTATCAGTGGGTAAACACAAAACACAGATGTTTTCTAGTTGTAATGTTAGATCTAGATGTAATGTTAGAGAGCTTCGATATGCTTTGTTTTTGTTTTTTTTATCAAATTCACCCAAGGACTTTTTAATTTTTAATATTTGAAAATTTTAATTATTAAAAACAAAGGCTAAATAATAAACAAACTAGATTCACAGGATGGTATAACATTTTCTTTTCTTGCCCTTACTGTTACTGCTCATGTGTTAAAACCTAGTAATGAAATGTATGCTGAAATGTATGCTTTAGTAAATCACTGTTTTTCTGTATTTTGCTCAGGTCAAATCAGACAACAAAGCATCACAAAGCATCACAAAACCTTTAGAACAGCCACCTCCTATAGCCCAAAAGCCCAAAAATCTGGCTATCCCACCTCCCCAGACTCAAACACAGACGCAGCTTCAGCCCCACCTGCCAACGCCACCACAACCTCAGACACCTACTAATCTGCAGATTCAAACACAAGCCCTCCCTAAACCACCAACACTGTCCAAGGCAAGTGCACGTGTAGCCCCCACCTCTGCTGAGCCTCTGGAGAAACCTAGAGAGGCAATTAAACCAGTACAGCCCTGTACAGAGTCCTCAAAGTACCACGACTCGTACACCCCTAAACCCCCAGCTCCTCCTGTCCGGACCATCGAGAGTAAACGAGCCACTGCAGCCCTCAGCCAAACTGAAGCAGCCTATCACGCTGTGGATGAAGGCCTTGCACCTGGCCATATAGAAGACGCCCTGCCTCAGCGTCCTCTTTCTCCTCCTCATAAGTCTTCCATGCACCAGCAGGCCTACCTGTACCATCCTAAAGGAGAGCCTGTTTTAGTTGAATCTCCAGGAGCTCCTTACTACCACCAGAGGCCGGTTACTCTTGGCCCACCACCGATGACACACCACTACAGGCCAGACGACGTGCCTCCATATCTTTCCTACGTGTCCAAGTCTGAGCCCCAGATTCCTTATAGTGCAAGAATGGACAACAGATACAGCACATTAGGCCCAAGATCCTATCACCACTCCATGAAGTCCAGAGGAAACTCCCGTGGCATGTTTGTGTCAGCAGGACCGGGGCATCCAGGTTACAGCCACGACAGAAATCAAGGCTACCCCACTATTCGCAGAGTACACTCACTACATGTTCCTTCAGCTGTTCGCTCAGTGCCCATTCAAAGGACCGAGGTTCCTCCTGATGATGACATGTTTTTCTACAGGCCCATGTATCAGTGCAAGGCCTACCCACAGTCCCCGCAGCAGCCCCCACAGCAGTCCTCACAGGGAGATTACCATGTCACGCAGCTGCAGCCTTACTTTGAGAACGGCAGAGTGCAGTACCGCTACAGTCCATACTCTGGCTCAGTGCACCTGGAAGCACCATTCTGTGACATGGACCCGTATGCCACAATTCGAATCCGTCACTTTCATCCTCACGGCAGCCGAGATCCTGGAGCTGTATCTGGTCGTTCGAGCGGAAAGGCAGCTGGGTATCACTACCTTGCTCGCCACATTCTCCCACCTGGTAAAGAGCACAGCTTTGTGAGCAGGGACATGCCCCCAAACCATGGGACCAAGGAATCTGCTGCCTACCTCTCATGGGACCCAGAGGAGTCAGAAAGGCTCCGTATGCACTCCATCCGTAGGGAGAGCAGGGCTAGACAAAGGATTAAAGGTCCAGTCCTCTCTCAGTATGATAATGTTGGCTTATACACACCAGCAGATATATCAGGTTATGAAACACTCCACCTGCGTAGCAAATCCGACCCAGGTAAAGCTGTGCTGCTTGTAGCTGAGAGCAAAGATGGACGCTACCTCCCTAGACATATGGTTTCAGACCCTGATGTCCTCATGTACTTAGAGACTGACAAACATGTCCAGGGTTGTGACAAGTCAGATGGACTTTCCAAGCAGAGCAGTTCCAAAAAATGCCACTCATCTCACTCACCTCCTGCAACTCTGAGCCACAGCCTCTCCCATCCAGAAGGTGGGCGATACGAGAGCGGAGAAGAAAAGCTGACTGCAGACGGCAGCAGGCCCAAACACTGGCAGCAGGAGTGCCCTAACAAGAGGAATATCCAACCACGGTATGAGTGTCCTGATTCTGACCATCCTCAGAGTAAGGGAAGGGCATCAAGCAGTTACCACAACACGGACGACCATGCATCAGTTGCCAGGGAACAAGTGTCCCGCTCCAAACCAGAGAGATCCCACAGTGTCCGTGAACAGCCGCAATACAGCCAGAGCAAAGACATGGACAGAGACTACTCGTATCAAAAACACAACACCAAAACAACAACTCAGTCCCACTATGATAACTTGGACGATTATCACCCAGTACCTCAAGCTCAGGCCCCAGTCCAAAAACATGGCTCCAGCTCCTTTCCTGCTCCAGGATTCTCAGGGAGCCACAGCAACAGAGCATACTCCACAGCACTGGGCCAGGGAGCCTTCATTCAGACTGAGCTAGCCATGCCGAGACCAGAGACTGAGATATGTACAGAATAGAACACTATGGGGGAACATGTGAAATGATCTTTTGTTTTGTTGAAGAAAGACTAATGAGCTGAGCAGCCTCTGCAGGACAGTGGACTGTGGCATCACCAATATTTTTGCTCCTGTGTATTTTTCTTGAATTTTAAGACTTTTTTCAGAAAGTCCTGAATGTACCTAAAAATTACTGCTTAAGATCATAATATTGACTGATCAAAACAGTAGCCAGACATACATGTATATAAGAAAAATGCAAGGGTCCTTCAACAAGAACCACAAAATATGTCAAATATATATGAATAGTATCTGTAGTAAAAAGGGATTTTTAGTTGTATTTTTTGTTAGGTGTGGCGCTGGGTATGAGCATCATCTGGAAATAAGGTTTGCATTTTAGAAATGCATGCACTCTTATCTCTTACAGAACAGTTCTGTGTAGATCACTATCATTAAGTTCTTTCTGGAAATAACAGCACAAGTTATTGAAACCGTTGACTCCCTCTGCTGACGTGTGCAGGAATCTGCAATACGGTGTGTCCATGTTTGTCTCCGAGTTTCCAGCCAGGTGTGTGAGTTTGATGAAGAGCTGCAGTGGGTTTTACTTTTAATTATTACAGTGGTTATCAATATAATTTGTTTTCTGTGGCTGTGTCATTTTGATGTAATTATAAACAGATTTTGGTGATAATGGAATGTTTTGGTACTTGTCTGTTCTTCAGTGGAAGAGGGACCAAATGACTTGGCGCAGTTGTTGCACATTAATGGGATACAGGTGATAAGGTTGATGTATAAGGTGGATTTATATTTCCCTTTTCTCATCACATTAATGGTACATTAATGAACTGGACTAACTTAACACATCCGACAACCACTCTGTCAAAACGTGGAAAAAATATGTTGTTGCATCTTTGAGCAAAGCCAACAACTTTGTTATGAGCCTTAAATTTTATTCCTGACCCTATTGTGTTTAATTTTACTGTCCTATAAGCCTATTGTCATATTGCACTGACATGGTGATAGGTTTGGCAGTGTAGATGATGACTCTTTTCTGGGCTGACGGTTTGATCTGTTGGGGTATTTAGTTTTATATCACCTCTGTGATTCTGAAGTTAAAATATTAAAGGGTGTTTTTTGTTTGTTTGTTTGGTTTTTTTTATGATACCCGGGGATCTTTTTTAGCTGCAAATTAATGTATACTACATTCATCTGGTATTATACAACATGCCCTTTAGGTTCATAATAATACCACTACAATGTATTTGACATGTCTAAATCCAGGTTGTACTCTGTAACCATTCAACTTCTACATTGCTTGCAGGTTTTTCCTCCTCTTGCCTTATGTAAAGCCTCTACCTTTTCAGATGGGGTGTTGAAGTAAGGCACTGTGTACTTGAATGTGAAAACACTCTTGTCTCAAATTAGAGGTATCTAACGTTAGATATGAAATAATAAAACTTTTCAGCAGATGCTGTAATCAATGTGTCTTCTTGTTAAACTCTGGAGCGTTCTTGATAAAAGTTGTCATCTACTGCAGAGAACCAGCTGTGTGAGGGTGTGTTAACCTTTTAAAAACTGGGATATATTTTTTATCTTGGCCTTCAACAAAACATGTTTCTAAAAACCCAAACAAACAGAATGTAAATATTTTTTTTGCCAAATGTAATCCACCAATTTACCAAACATTACTAAATGACAAAAAGTAGAAATTCTAATTTTTGTAATATCTGTTGAAATCATGCAATACAAAAATGTTGCACTAACAACAAACATTTCAGTAGAGCTATAAAAAAGAATAATTATTTTTATATCTTGTATAATGTTCGAATATAACTACAACAACTAGTGGCCCTTAGTGAGGATTGAACCAAATTTTATTTATAGTTGTATGTGGCATAAAATTAAATGAAACATTGAGAGCATTCTCAAGAAATAAAATAACCAAAGGGTGCTAATGCAGCACAGGCTTTTTTTTGGCTCAAAATAGAATATGTATATAAAAAAAAGACCTAAATGACCGTTAAGCCTATTAAGCCAATTGAATAGCACTACAATTGCACATCTAAATACAAATCATAATCATAGTAACACCCAATCCTAATGGAAATTAAATGGCCATGTATTACTGTAAAGAGCCTATGTGCGGCAACTGGTACACATGCCATAGTTTGAGAACTGCAGCTGATTTGTTGTCCCTAACTATGGATTTTGTATAATTCAATTTGGCTCACAATTATTTTTTATTACATACCACTTGCACTGATAAATTATTTGAGGTTGTGCTTATTAAATTACTTGACTGTAAAATTAGTTGAAAAGAGCTAAAAAAAACCCCCATACAAAATATTTGATAATAAAAAACATGTAATAAAAGAGAACTCAAGGGTTTGCTCGAGAATCATGTAGTTTTATTGTTTATGTAAGGTCAGAAAACTTTACGTTTATCCAAACCATTTGTAAAAGGAACTGCAAGTGTGAAAACATGGGAATTTATTACAGATTGGCCACATAAGAAAACAACAAGTGTGCGTAATGAGAAAATAAAGTTATGTTTGTTCGCTGGATTTTCATCTTGAAAAACAAGAATTTGTTTCTGTAAGCGAAGTTTCCGTGTTTACAAACGTTGCCAGTTGCATTGTGGGAGACAGATGATTGACATTGCCGCCATTTTGCCTTCCCTCTCTGCTTCCATTGTGTGAGAGATAGTAAATATCTGACACTGCCAGAGAAGCACAACGTACTTGTTTCCGTCATATATCTGACACTGTAAGAGAAGCACAACGTACTTGTTTCCGTCGAAGGAAAAGACGTAAAATTGACCCTCGGTAAGTTTAGTTTCAGTCTAAATTTATATCCATCTGGAAATTATTTAACATTTTGTCTATAAAATGCCTGATTTTAAGTTGTTTTTGTATTAACAACGCCTGTTTTTTCGACGTTATGTTGGGGAGAAAGCAGCTGCTCCGATGCCCAGGCTGAGAGAAGAGCCGCTCGTTACTTCAACTGCACAAATATCTGCTCCACTTTCAGTCTCGTCTTTACTTCGTTTTTTGCTTCAATATTGCATCGTTTTTTCGCGTGTGTAGCGCGACACTTGTAGCTTCATTTGTGCCGCATGTTTTGGTGGCAGTATTGTTAGAACACGTTGTCTGTTTATGTTGAAAAATGTTGAAGTTTACGTCTCGCTCACTGTTCGCTGGTACGTCGACAGCTTCATTACGCTCTGCGGCCATAATCTTGCGGTATGAGGCGGGGTTTTTGTTGCTTGTCCCGCCTACAAACTATGCAGTTTTGAATGCCATTCGTCGTTACATATTCAAGGGACACAGTGGATTCGTTTATTTATGCATAATGACCAGGTTATAGCGGCGTCATTGGTGGAAGTGTGAGGCAACACTCTTCGGATTGGTTCGTTGCTCTGTGTTTGTTGTGAAATCCCGGTTTCAACATTTGAAAAGGCTGACTGAAGGTCAGAGTAAGTGTTAGATCCAAAGTTAAATATTTAAAGAACTATTACTAGTTATATTCACAAATACGAATTTATCAGTAAATATCAAAATTGTGTTTAATGCGGTATTTTGATGTACAAACAAACACAGACTATGTAGTTTTGTAGTTATGTGGAGTTTAATATTTGTAAAGTGGGTGTAAAATCCCTTTAGAAAACAGACTTGAAAAATAGTTTTACAAACCATCTGATAAACAATCTAAAAATAAACAGTAAAACAAAAAATATGAAAAACTTAAACATGGTAGTTATTGCCATCAAACAGCATAATTACTTTAATGATTAAAAAATTATACCTTATGAATTATAACTAATACATAATAATTTGTAGTGCAGTACTGTTCAAAACAAATGCATATTTACATTTACATATTTACACATATATGTACAATATATTTGGTGAGCGTTAATTTGTGACTAGTCAACTAACTGGCAACATGCTACATAATGGTTGCAATTGTAAAAAAAAAAAAAAAAAGACCAGTAACCAATCTTCATGACATTTAAATTAACTGTCAGAAACAATTGTTTTTGGTACCAGTTACATGGTTTCATGGATTGTTTATTTGAACCCCCTTTCATGCTTCTTTCTTTACTGTTCTTGTCTAGGGGATACTTCATAAGTCATGGCTCGTACCAAGCAGACCGCTCGTAAGTCCACTGGAGGAAAAGCTCCTCGTAAACAGTTGGCCACAAAGGCTGCCCGAAAGAGTGCGCCCTCTACTGGTGGTGTAAAGAAGCCCCATCGTTACAGGTAGGAAAATTGATATGAACTTGTTGAGTGTTTGGTGGTGCATTTTCCCTGAATGATGTTCAAATGATCAACACATAGTAAGATAAACTGAACAAATTGTTATCAGGGAACCTGATTATTTAGAATCCTAGAACAACATATGTCATATTCATTCATTTTTAGTAGGAGCACTAACTTCCACTAACAGGATTAGCATTTATAACATTTTCTGCTCTTCGTTTTTTAGGCCTGGTACTGTTGCTCTGAGAGAGATCCGTCGGTACCAGAAGTCCACTGAGCTTCTGATCCGTAAGCTGCCGTTCCAGCGTCTGGTGAGGGAGATCGCTCAGGACTTCAAGACTGACCTGCGTTTCCAGAGCGCTGCCATTGGAGCTTTGCAGGTGTGTTGACATGCACAAAAAACATCACTATCATAGAATTCTGATTGCACTGTGTAGTACTATTTTCTTTGTGTATAAAATACCAGACTTGATTTTTGTATTTATCTTTAACCCAGTACTACAGAGAGTATCGATAATGATGTAACGGAAGTGATTCATTGCTTCATACTCATATGCCAAAGAAGTACTATGTCTATTTGTTTTTCTTTTTTGGGAGTCTATTTTGTCTGGATCTGCTTCTTCTATTATCCATCCCATAACACACAGCTCAAAAACTATTCTTTTTTTTTCTATTCTGGTATTCTCGATTTTATTCCCACATTTGCTACCCAACTGCTCAGGGAGTTCCTTTTTAACTGCTCACAATTTTTATTGTAACAGTCAAGTAAGAGAATAACAGCAGTGACCACAGTAGTTTGACCAATTACTTTTTCCAGCTAATTTGTTGAGGTTTTATCTCTTTTGTTAAAGATTAGTTGAATATGTTCATTCATTTTCAAGTTAAATTAAAAAAAAAAAACATGAAAAACTGCATTGTTTATAAAGTGTGGTTTAAATTGTCTCACACCTGACATTGCTAACGGGTCCATTTCTCCCTCTTTGTCCTGCAGGAGGCCAGTGAGGCCTATCTGGTGGGTCTGTTTGAGGACACCAACCTTTGTGCCATTCATGCTAAGCGTGTCACCATCATGCCCAAAGACATCCAGCTGGCACGCCGCATCCGAGGAGAGCGTGCTTAAGACGCTCTCCTCCTTCTTCTTTCTCCTCTTTTTTCTCTACATGTCCCTTCCTCTCTCCTCCCCATTGTACTCCACCCACACCCTGCACCCCTTGTTTCCCAACCTGCCCTGCTTCTCAGTAGACATTAGAGTAATTCTGATTATGAAGAGATAGAAATATGTTAAAAGTCTGGTCTCTCATAGGTTCGTTGGTTTTGTTGTTTTCTTGTCTTCACCAAATGTTTTAGAGTTCATTGTTGTGCATATTGACAGTTTAGCAGATCAGATCATCATGTGTTCACAAAGTCAAACAGGCATCTCTGGGTTTGGGTGAAATTTTGGAAGGTGAAATACTCTCCTGGGCTTTACCTGGATTGTGAAGTCAAAAGGTTCCTTTGGTGTTGTACACAGGGGCAAAGTATGGCCCAAGGACTAGTCTGCTTAAGGGGAGCTGCAACTTCCACAGCAGGGTGCTATTTTAAAACTGGTCCTAAAGCCTGTGTTCTCATGAACACCCTCCATCCTTTGGCCTGCCACCCTCACCACTGGGACCCAAACTGGGATATACCCTGGTCTGTTTGGCCATTTGTGTTTACATGTCAACTCTGTTATTTTAAACCATTTGGTAACCAAGAAAAACTGTTGTTTTGGACTTTTGGTTATTGTTGTGGATAAGGTGGTGTTGTTTTTACACATCGTCATCAATGACAGACATCTCTTCATTTATTACTTCCAATATCGTTGAAATAAAACAAGAAACATGTTTTTCTTTTACAGTGATCTGTTTTGTTAATGAAAATCAGGAAGGGCTCCTTTGTTTTCTAAGGTAACATCAGTCCTAACAGCAGCCACACGGGGGCGATGGTTTACCATCTCCTGTTTTCTTACCTGTTCACTGTAGATCAGTCTTCATCTATTAAGCCTCTGTCTCTATTTTTATCACCACAGTTTAGGCATTAGACTCATCACTACAGTATAAATTGATGTGATAGTTAAAATGACACTCTGCATGTTTAGACTTTGTCTCACACTTTCTGTCGCTCTTTCTCTTTGTAGATCTGAGAGAAAAAAAACTCCCTCTGAAAATTTGTGATACACAATATAACCTCATATTTGTTTTCTTTGATATTTTTTCTTATTCCTTGAGATTTTCAGACGTATAAATAAGCTGATCTTTGTATTTTCCAAATTTGTCATATTATGGTGGTAATAAATAGGTGTCAAAACAACAAATTGTCTTTTTTTTTCTGTCTGAGCTACAATGTTACACAAAGTTTAGGTTTATATTATAGCTCAGCTGTGGTGGATAATAGTCAAAGCTCAGATGGTTTAACAAAGAAACAACAACCACGAAAAGCATAAACTGCTATTTTACAATTAACTGCAAGAATAAAAATAGCCAAAATAGTTCCAGCCTATGCTTCAGTGTGGCTTGTACTTTGTCATAGTTGCAGGGATCAGGTGTGTGTATAAGACAAGTCACACAAAAAAAAAGAGAAGTTTCAGGAAAAGTATTTGGCCACCTATAAGAAGAAGGGAAGACCGAAAGAAATATAGGAAAAAAGCAACAAAGGGAGGCAAACATAAAAGGAGAAGTTGGGATAAAAGGAGAACATAGATGTCTTTCTACCAAACAAAAACACGTATCTGTACCAAACTAGCAACAAAACATTGAGTGGACGAACCGCAAAAGAAAGGGAAGTACAAAGTAAAACACAAAGAAGTGGAGAAGAAAGGTAGGTCAAAGTAGGAAGTAACGCACTGTAACACACTGCCATAGAACACCATCAGAATGTAATAGACGTTGCAGTCCAGAAGAGGGCAGTAATCTAACACAAATCCCATTCAACGCCACCAAAACATTTATATTCCAGGTGCATTTAATATACGATAATTACACAAAGTTCAAGCTTTAAATCTCTCCAGAAACAACACACACAAACACACAGTTTTATTAGTTCATTCTCGATGCTTTCCCACAAATGCCTGTGCAACAGTCTGAACAACGACATGATTTGTTTTGTTAATTTCTCCCGGTTCAGGTGATACTTCATAAGTCATGGCTCGTACAAAGCAGACCGCCCGAAAGTCCACTGGAGGGAAAGCTCCTCGCAAACAGTTGGCCACCAAGGCTGCACGCAAGAGTGCGCCCTCTACTGGTGGAGTGAAGAAGCCCCATCGTTACAGGTACGAACAGAGTAAAAAAGCTTAAAATTAGTCAGCTGTCACAAACTATTTAATTGTTTTTTGTTTGTTTGGTCTCCAAAACTAAGCAAGTAGCTTAAATATTTTTATATATTATATTTCTAAATTCTAAATCGTGACAGTTAATTCAGCTCCAAATAGGCAAAAAACAAACAAACAGATACGGTCAAATTAAAGGGTACTTAATAGTAGTAACTGAGGACATGTTGAATTTTGTGTAACTGTCTTGCCAGGCCTGGTACTGTTGCTCTGAGGGAGATCCGTCAGTACCAGAAGTCCACTGAGCTTCTGATCCGTAAGCTGCCGTTCCAGCGTCTGGTGAGGGAGATCGCTCAGGACTTCAAGACTGACCTGCGTTTCCAGAGCGCTGCTGTGGGAGCTCTGCAGGTGTGTGTGTGTGTGTGTGTGTGAGTGTGAGAGAGGATGTGCGCGTGTTTGTTTGTTTGTTTGTTAACATTGACAAACTTTCTTCCTCCGTTGCCATGTGTACATCTTCTCTATCGCCCCCTGCAGGAGGCCAGTGAGGCCTATCTGGTGGGTCTTTTTGAGGACACCAACCTTTGTGCCATCCATGCTAAGCGTGTCACCATCATGCCCAAAGACATCCAGCTGGCACGCCGCATCCGAGGAGAGCGTCCTTGAATGGTCACCTGTGGGTTTGTCCTCATGTCCCTGTCCTCCCTTACACTCTTCCCCTTTCTCCCCTTACTTCCTTACCTCCCCTACTGGATTTTTAGTAGACTACATCCTGTATAAGGAAGATAACAATATCTGAAAGTCTAGTCTCAAAGTGTGTTTTTAACGTCACATTTTTTAAAAGTACCTTTTAGGTACACTTGTCAAAGTAAAAAAACAAAACAAAAACAAGATAGTAAAGGTTATTGTCAACACTATTCAGGCTCCATCAACTGCTCTCTCCCTCTTCATCAGTATGACCATGTAGCCTGACTCAAATTTAAAGATAAACGGAAAAAAACGTGAAAATGATGTTATGTTACGTTCCTTGAGATTTCCAGACGTACAAATACAACTAATATTTGTTTTGTCCAAATTCTCTTGTAATGGTTTTAATAAAACACATGACAATCAATGTCCTGTAACCGTTAAGATTTTATTCTACGAATGTTCCCGAGTCACTGATTTTACACCACTTCTAAACAATTAGAATTTCCTACCTCGATTATTCAGCGTAGGAACTCCAAACGACCACACGGGGGAAACCTTTCCCCAGCTTTTGTCCACACAACGTGGACGTCCTTCAGGCCAGAACGTCCGAACTGATGGAGAGATTGAGGAGGGACCACCACCTATACTGTATGACGAATGTTTAATTTCAAATGTTCTATGCGATACAAAGATGTTTAAATTTTGACAAAAATTTGGTTCTTGAACGGATGGTCCATATTAGAAATGTGCAAAAAAAAAATAATTTTTGTGACATTGAAAAGCCTATACTGAAGAACTCGGCACATTTCCTTCAGCAGTATTCGCTTCTCTTCTCTCATTAACCACACTGACACCAGTACAGCACACAGTTCCTTCATGCAATATATATATATATATTTTACACATGTAGCCAGTTCACATTCCATTCTGATGGTCAACACCACAGATACCAGGTCACAAAAGAGGGAAACGTCATTATATTCTCCTCACCTGACACTGTGTCCTCCATAGCCTTGAAGTGTTGAAGCTAGCTCATGCTGTGTGTTTGAATATGGTGACTTATCAGATGACTCAACCGGACAAACATTTAATGGAGCACAAAGGTGACAATTGCCCAGGAAAATGTCTGAAAGGCAGAATGGTAAATGTTGAAAAATGGTACATTTAGTTTAAATTCAGAGGGTGGTGACATGAAAGTGTTCATTTCCACCCGAGCTGCAGTATCACACCATCAACATATTAGAATCAGTTATAGGTTGGAAATGTGATTGCAAAATGTTAAAACATATCTTGTGGCTAACATGAATTAGCCACAGTAGATAGTCAATAGACTAAAGGACTAAAACACGACTCAGACGTCATATTAGATCATTTGAACTAGAGCTTGGCCATAAAAATAAATAAGCATCAAGCGAATGAACAGAAAGCTCAAAGGAAACCTAACACTGCAGTCAACTACACTGTTAGAAAATAGTAAAATTAGTCAATTGTCGGGATAAAAGATACACGAGAAACAAGTTTATGTACAAATGATCTTATCGAGCCTGGGGGAGAAAATATCTCGCAAAAATAATAATTAGGTTTGTGAAATGTTTGCAACGTGGCACAAAAAGTTTTTTGAAATGTGTGCCGACTTCACGCATCACAGCGCAGTACACACGTGTGTGTGTGTGTGTGTGCACTTCAAGTCTGGTAAAAACTGAAAAAATCTTGGTGTTTTTTAATGTCCATTTTGTAGCAACATGGTGTGTTTTCCTACAATTAAATTGCTTTAAAAAACCTCAATATATACCGTCATGCCTATCATATATGTCATGTCGTTGCCCCTGTATACTTGCCAATACACACCCCTACTAACAACATATGTTTATGGGCCGAGAGATAATGTTTAAACCTGGGTCTAACTAATACACAGTTTCTTCGGATTTTCTGGTTAGGATAAAACTAATGTTGGAAGTGAAGTTAGGTTTGTCGGGGAACGTGCAGCGCTCTAACCCCCCTCCCTTCACTGCCTGGAGGTTATTTTACTACATAACTGTAGAACAGAGAAGATCAACTTCTTGCTTATATCATATTTGCCTACATGAAACTGAACACCCGGCATGACGATGCCGATGGTTTGGGACCGTTTCCATGTGAAGAGAACATGTGAGGTGAACGTCATCCGTATGTTAAAGACCATAGAATAATCCACTGAACACACAGGATGAATTTCCACCTGTCTCTGCAGCGATCCTATTTCCAATAGTTAGATCTAAAGAAGAAACGTTTTCTTTCGCCTGGTGGGAAGTATTAGATAGCATCAGTTATGTCCCGTATTTGTGTAAATGTTTCAAATCAGTCAGGCCTGCAGCCCCTCAGTGGTGCCCCCTGAAGACATGTTTATTCAGAGAAACTGTCCATCAATTACGTACATATTGTGTGGACATTTATATGGATTAGACATGTACTGGTAAAAACCCAATCACACTGCAGGCCTTAATTAAAACGCATCCTTTATTGACCTCTAAAGTGTGGGATTAACGTTTCATTCTGTCTATCTATCTATCTATCTATCTCCCTGTCTCCCTCTCTCCCTCTCTCCCTCTCTCCCTCTCCCTCTCCCTGGTTGGGTGTTTGATCTCACCTGTGTCCTGTGCCGTCGTTGTCTAATTAGCGACTCACCTGGTTGCTCTCCCACACTCTGCCTTTGTTGGTTCTGTTCATGCTCTTCTGTCAGTCACTGTCCAACCCAGGTGGTTCAGAGTCTTAGCCCAGTTTAGTTCATCCTGGTTCCGTTCCTGCCCCTGATCCCACGTCTGGGGTGCTGCTGCTGTTGTTACTGTGAGTGTCTGTCCATTTATGTAACCATTTTGATTTTTGGGATCTCAAAGCAGCTTCGTCTGATAATAATCAACAGATTCTTGTACCCTGGTTGTAGCCCTTCAGTTCATTGATCAACTGTTTGCCTGAATCATTTCTTTTATGTTAGTTCTTCACAAAATAACATTTTTGAATGTTTTGAAACTTCCTGTACAGAATTGTGACATCACTGTCACTGTTTGGGGCGGACGTTCAGCCAGGAGCTTGGGAACCTAGAAGCTGAATGTTCTTAGTGAATGATTCATATGTGACACACAAATGAATCACAAATGTCAAACAACATCTCACAGCCTTTGTTGAGAGGGTTGGATTAACAATGTCACCTTAAACAGCCTAAAGCCTAACTGATGAGTACAAATACATGAATAAAATAGATTTATATAATTGTCATTTGTAGACTTATGGTTATATTTAAGTCCCATGGGAACAATAAATCACATGACTTCTGGTTAAAAATATAAAACAAGATGCAGAGAGACCGGTGTTCTACGTTGTGGTTCAGGGTGGTTCATTTTGATGCTGATCCAGATGTTGATCAATGAAAATAAGGTTTCCCTCTCATCATGATGGAGTTGTCATTGTTGTTCTTGACAACTCTAATGAAAGGTGGACATGATTTTAAAATTTAGTTTTAGTCTAATTTAATCAAAGTCTGCCTGGAAATGACAGTATAGGGGAAAAAGTGCCCCTAGTGGAGGTTTTTAACTTCCTTGACCAAAAACTCAGTTGTTAATTAAACAGGTTAATTCATAACAATCAATGATTTAAAAATGATTTGAAAAAAGGACTGATTTTATTATTTATTCATTTACCCAGACCAGAGTCCATTTATCTGAGTCTTTGTTGCCTATTTTTCATTTCATGCGTTCACCTTCCTCAAGGTCTGCCCTGTGTTGGCTCCATCCCCCATCACATCTGCTCCTCGCTGGGATTACGACGCAAATGTCTGACTGAAACTCACAGTGCTGAGAGGGAAGATTATGAGTGTACTGTACGGGTTAACCAATCAGAGTGCACAGATGCAGGGATTAACCAATCACACCAGAGAGGGAGGGAGGGCGGGAGTGAGTGCGGGGGGATTAAACCAGCAGAGAAGGGATTAGGCCAGTGCTGAGTGCAGACAAATTGTTTTCAAATGGCTCTGGCTGTCTGCTCGCTTCTGTCGTAGCAATATATTTGAATTCATGAGGTGTTTTTGTGGGAATGCAGATGAAATGAGATTAACATGAAATAATGAATCCGTGTTTTTTTTCTTATTTATTTAGCCTGACATCCAAACATCTGAGCCGTCAATGATCAGGGGCTTCATTTTGACTGATTTAACTGTTGGATGTCAGTGAAGTAACAAACCTGACCTCAGGCTGAAACTGTTTCAACCTGAGGCCACGGAGAGACACCTACAGGATGGAGTACTTTAAAGTACAGACGCAGGACTGTGTGATGTCGGTGACGGCACGGTGGGTCACATGACGTGCGTGCTACATAAATAAGAGAGAAGCACATGTTTGTCAGACAAACAAAACAGAAAACATGGAACACAAACACTTGGGTAAATTATTCTGCATTTCTGATGTCACACACAAGTTTGCATGGCAATAATCAGGTCATGGAGGGATTATTAAGTTTTTAGAGGAGCGAGGGAGGGGGTGTTGGGGTGGATGTTGACGATGGGAAGGGGAACCAATGAGCTGACAGACAGACTGACGGACGGACAGACGAACAGACGGACAGAACGACAGGTGGGTGTGGACGGTGCTGTGAAACAGTAATTAGTTAAAACAAGTATTGACAAAAAGGCTTTAATGATCGTCTCCTTCGTCACGTGCTGTTTCATAAAAACATTAAATCAAGTGGTTCAGTCATTTTGAAGAAGCAGAAAAAGAAGAGGAGAAACAACAGGTAGATACAGAGTAACAGGATCCTGTCAGAGAAAATGAACTGAGCTAGGAAAGATGGAAGGATAAAAGTGAGGAAAGAGCCAGGAAAAGGTTGGAGGAGGTGGGTGAGACGGGTGAGAGACAGAGGGAGAGAGGACAATAATCCTAACTAATTCACTTAGGGCATTGCTGAAGGGAGGCTAAGAGGATTGAGACACTAGCAGAAACAGATAAGCTAAAATAACCAAGATGGGAGAGTGAGAGCCATACAGGCCGTATGACAAACATGACAGGTCTGGACCTTACAGCGTGGACACTGTCTGGACACTCCAGAATCCTCAGCGAAAACACCCTAATATGATGTAAGTCTCAATGACGATCAAAGCACAGACATAGTCGAGAAGAGGTTACTTTAATATGTCACACAGCCAAAACAGAAAAAAAGATCTAATTATCCTAGAACAGATGAGAAAAGATAAAAACACGACTGAAACGGTCAAAACCAACTCTAACATGGTCTAAAAATGCAAGAAAAAAAGTACAAGTTTAAGCAAAGAGTACAAGAGATAAATGAGAGCGCTAGGAATAAATAAACCATCGAAGAGAAAGTAATTCATGGGACATATGAGAAGAAGGGCTGCTACTATAGTCAAATCATACATCTCTAAATCATTATCCTCCAAATGTAAATGACAAAATAACAGGTCTGTATCTGTTGTGTATCTTAAGACAGACATATGTTAGTAACATGGGAGTCAAACAGTCCTGGGTTTAGTGGTCATTTAACGAGTTGGTCATTAGTTTTAATAACAATCCAGGTCGATTCATAACTGCAGCCACACTTAAGAGCCTGCTCCTACTAGAGCAGTTTAAAAGAACTATATAACAACATGGGTTTAAAGAACAAAAAGTGTCACGCTCATGCTGAGTCACATGTTCATGTCATGGATTAGACTTGTCCATGTGTGGAGCTGTTGTTTCCGGGTAGGGCTTTAAAAGGTTTCTGTTTTTTTTTTTTTTTTTTTTTTTTTTCCAGTTTACATAACATGAAGACACCACATACGCTCTGCTGCTCTCCGCGGCTGCTCACAGTGTAGTTACCGTCCTTCTATAAGCAACGTCTCTGGAATCACATGAAGCACTACAGAAATCACCATTAGAAAACAAAACGAGACCTTACAAACAATAAAGTGAGAGTGAATGATAACTGAGTCCTGGGGCAGAACCTCCTCTGACTACCTCACACTGACTCTCTGACCAACCCTGGGGCCTTCGTCTCCTTCGTCTCCTTCTGTCTACAGCACCTGGAACTTCCAGGAGCTCTGGTCTTTGTGATCCAGGCAGTCCATTGTGGTGAAGCCCAGTTTCCAGGCCTGCTGGTCCTTGTAATCCAGGCAGTCGACGGAGGTGAAGCCCAGAGAGGAGGCCGTGCTGTAGCCCTGCGAGGACAGCGAGGCCGGGGACTGACTTAAGGAGCCACCCATGGAGGGCACGGTGATGGGGCTGAGGGCGCCGCTGGTGCCTGACAACTGCGAGTGCATGGGGGACAGGTAGGCACTGCAGTCCAAGCCAGTGAAGTAGGAGGTGGTGCTGGCGTAGCCCTGGGTGTAGGCCGACGGCTGGCCGTAGCTCATGGGGTAAGGAGAGGGCCGCTGCATGCAGGGGGCGGAGGAGGCCAGGGGGTCCGGCAGTGGGGAGATAGCAGGGCTCCAGATGGACACGGCTGTGTTTCCAGTGCTGGAGCTGGGAGCCAGTGTTGGGCCTGACTGGACCGGAGAGGGGCTGTAGGAGCTGGACGGGTTAGGAACAGGGTCAGGGGCACTGGGCTCCTGGATCGGAGAAGCCTTCTTCTTAGGAGGGCGTGGTTTGGACTGACCACTGCTCTGCTGCTGTTGCTGACGGCACTTGGCACGGCGGTTTTTGAACCAAACCTGTAGATGTGTCAACAAATACAGCATGTTAGAACCGAACGAGTCGTGACAGAAAAACACAGAGGAACTTCCTGTAAGGAGAGTTCTACAGCTGCGGTGAATAAAAACATACAGGTGCTCCACAACACATTCCTCTTTTACCTGCACACGTGACTCCGGCAGGTTGATCTTGAGGGCCACCTCCTCCCTCATGAAGATGTCTGGGTACCGGGTCTTGGAGAACAGCGCCTCCAGGATGTCCAGCTGTGTCCGGGTGAAGGTGGTGCGCTCTCTGCGCTGCTTTCGCGGTGTGGCTGTGAAACCAGTAGTACACAGAGGGGGGCAAATAATTAGGACCACACTTCAGGATATAGTTAGGGTGCGTTCAGGTTCCACTTGTTGCCCGTGAGTAAGAACCCAGAGAGGCCATTTGTTTTTCAGACACTCTCTGATCCCGGTGGTTTTCCCACTGGTGACTGATGGAGATGAGCTCAGTGTTTGCTGATGGTATTAAGTGGCACTAACAGTCGCTGCATCTTCGCGGCGTTTTCTTTCATCATTTTAGAGAAAATGGATCAAGTTTCATATTATTCATTCATCTCTGGTTTGTACAGTCACAGTCATGTGTCTCCGAGTGATGCTGCGTGTTTGTTCAGAACGAGTAGAGTGAGCAATTATTAGTTTTTGTCACCTGAAATCCACATTTAGGGTATTAAATGTCTCCATAGTCTTTGGCTTGTCTAATAAGGTGAGTCGCCGTGAGGGAAAGTAAAAACATCTGAAGTTGAACACTTTTACTCAGGTTCCCCTGATACAGGGATCGGGAGTAAACACGAACGATCTGCTTTGAATATTAGACGGTGTCTGCATCGCAAAAAGAAAAAAAAATCACCTCAAACTCCAAAGTTAATATCATAAAAGTTTGACATTTGATTCAATTAATGTTCTTTCTAAATTCGGGGATGAAATAAAAACCTAACATTCCATGAGAAAGAAACGTCAACTTAAAAAAAGAAAAGAAATTCCTACAGTTTCAATCAATGCGACTCGCTTGATATAAGTACGAAAAAAAATAAAATAAACCAAAACTTTATATCAGTAAATCTGTCACTCAAGGACGTTTCCATTTTAATATTTGTTTCGAGTGTTCACAGCTTTACGCACGACCTTGCGCTTTTACGCATCACATGAAACGGAAAAAAAGTTGATCGATTCAATAACAACCGATAAATATGAAAAGAACGAAGAGTAAAATATATATTTGAAATATAGGATTTATATACTCACATGGATAAGCGACGGTGGTGTGAAGCACGTCCATCCCGGGGCCAGGCAAATTTAACCCGTTCATGGTGTAATGGGGCTGCTTTATGTAGGACATCATCCTTACTGCGGGCTTTTAAGTCCTGTCGCTGACTTGTGGGTCGGACACGCAACTCACCAACCGAGGGCCCCGCTGAGCTCAGCTGTGGCAGCAGGTCTGTGCGACACAGACACCGGGGGGAGCGGGGCGCAGCAAACGCACCACAACAAGTCACACACAGGAAAACTAAATTATACTTAAAAAAAGTGTTAGAAAAATAAACCAAAAGATAAGTTTTTAGGTATAACGGCGGAACAACGGAATGACAGACTGCGGAGCACACGGATACTGCTGCTGCTGATGCTGCTGCTGCTGCTGCGTTCAGGTTCACTCAGTTAAGTCATGGCACAGGTGACAGGCCACTGGATGTGCGTCTTGGTGAGGTCGCTCCTCTGAGTTTCTTTACCAGCACACGCTGCTAATTAGAGGGAGCAAGTGGCTCCAGAAAACCCCTCCTACCACACACACGCACGCACGCACGCACGTCAGGACGCACGCACGCACACACGGAGACAGCAACAGGCTACATCATTAGACGGAGCCTTTCCACGTTATATGCGCGTTAGTGTTAACATTAGATATAAGAACACACAAATGATGATGATGATTTTTTTAAAGTAATCACTCACCAACTAGACGTTTATTGCCTCTATTAGAAACAGAAAAAAGAGAAAAGTAAAGAAAGACAGTAATATTTACGGTTCAAATTATTTTAAATTAAAGTGAATCTGGTAAAATTAAATTGTTAAGTACACACAAGGCTGACTGTTCCAATCCGAGCTGATCTGATCCGAGCTGGAATTTACTTGAACATACCACAGTTGTTAAGAGTTTTATATTTAATGAAGCATAAATACATTTAATACAATAAAACAACAAACACACACTGTCATTGAGTTTCGTCTTAAACAGGAGTCCAGGTCTTGTACAGAACATCATCGTTTGTAACTGACACTGCATTCACAAGACGCAGAAGCCAAATAGAATAGAGGTTCCCAACCCCTGGTGCGGGGACCAGTGCTGGTCCGTATGTCATGTGGTACAGCGCCGCAGTTCAGTTTTACTAATTTACTTCATTCAAAGAGAATCCAGTCATATCCCTTTACTTTGTTCATTAAGAGATAATGTTTCAAAACAATAGTTCAGTCATACAACAGTACTAACAGAGTATAGTCCAAAAGATGTTTTATTGTGTAAATTTATCCTCAATGATGATGTGATATAACCAGTCGGCTGATACAGGCAGACCGGTCCATGGTACAGAAAAGGTTGGGGGCGCCACTGAGGTAGACAGCGTATCTTAATGGGAGGGTTACAGCACAGTGACATTCACAGGTGCCGTACTTTCCTTCATGTGGATGTACTGTATGATGTAGTTGATCTTTGTGGCGAAGGAGAGAGGAACATTTTAAAGAACAGACATCAGAGTCGACTCAGACTCCAGGGTTACTGTCATCCACATGGAATAAAAAGGTTTAACCAACAACATTTCCAGTTGCACATAATCTGAACTAGGAACTTTGTCATTATAGAACCGTAGTGTGTGTTTCCCACATTTGACCACACTGTACACCTGGTGCATGACCCAGGTTGGTTATATAGAAATGTGTAAATTAAGGAGAAGTTTATTTGTAGTCTATTGTTTTGTATTCAGAGAGGTTAACTCTTTGGCTGTAAAGGGCAAAAAAACTACAGTTTAATTCAATTTTGACCTTTGTGTCGTGTCTATTAGGGGAAATCTACTGCTTGATAAGTGTTGAGTTGACATTGAAAATATCACCATGAAGAGGAAAATTAAACAACATTTAATGAAATTTTCAATATGGCAAAAAGTGGTAAAATCCAAATTTTAAACTGTTAATAAGTAGTAGAAAAAAGTAACAAAAAGTAGAAAAACTTGTGTCAGTATTTATTTAAATTTTCTGTTTTTGCAGATATTCATTTCCAAACAAATAAAACCTAAACAAAAAGAATTAAGGTGGTCTCTAAAAATGTTTTTTTTCTAGTTCTAGTTTATTATTCTGCTGCTGTTTTTATTGCATTTCTAGAACAATCACTGATCTGAGCAGGGAATTAGCTCTACCTGCTGTTTACCTCCTCACTAACTCATACATTCACACTAACTGACTACAATTATCTCCTAAACATCTGCATATGAACAAGCTGTGGTCCCGCTCTCTCTGTCCTACACACACACACACACACACACACACACTTACACTAACACATGCTCAGATGCACAAAACCGACAAAGCTCATTTGATTTATCATAATATGCTTTATCTGAAAAGTAAGTATCTTATCTCCAGATAAAGCGTGGAAAGACAGGGCAATCCGGTCAGTGTTGGAGCAGGAAAGGAGGCTGCAGAGAACGACAGCCGCACAAACGGGAGACGGATCGGTGTGTGTGTTAACTTGGGAAAAAGACTGCCGAACGAGCAGGAAGGAGAAGGTGGCTACAAGAAGAATGTAAGATGGAGGAAAGGAATATTAGAGGAACCAGAGCATGGAGGCGGCTGCTGCACCTACTGGACAACCTCAGGATTACACCTGGAAAACATGATGTCCCACTTTATTTCCTGCATTTCCACGGCTGAGGGAATATTTCACGATGAGAAGAACTCGGATGAACAATTCTCTACAATTCCAGGTTTAAATTATGGACATTAAACCTGACACACTTCCATATTTAGACATTTGTTTTAAATCATAACAAACATTTTTTAAGATGCTGTAAAATGTGTTGTTTTTTTTTTACTTTTTTAGTTCTTTAAACTGTGAATTTAGATTTGTCATTCAGGATTTTTATTTTCTATTTAAACATTGATGTTATGCAAACTGCTGACTTGATTTAGATGATGGTGTTTCAGTCTTTATCCACGGGTGGAACAGCTTGTCCCACAGCTGCAGCAGTAAATAGGGAAGTAGGGAAGAGGACTGAGCTCTAATCCCTGTCCGACTGCCCTCCCCCCAAAGCTGTTCTCAGACCTGATGCAAGCAGCACTTTGTTTGAGGTCCAAAGTGAGGCCTGGAAACTTAGGACGCCGTGGAAAATACGGAGGCAAATAAGTTAGTCAGGTGGAAGGAGAAGGAGAAGGAGGAGGAGGAGTAAGTATAGCAGGTAGACACACTATGTGTGAGGGAAGGGTGGGTGGAGAAGCAGGTGAAGGGGCAGAGGAGGGGGGAGGCTGCCATCCACGTCCCCACTGACACACTCTGGCACTTAATCCAGATTACAGTGTCTAAAACAGGCCGGCTAAATCTGCAGGCCGGCAAGCAGTACAGAGGCCGCTGTCATCCCCAATCACTCACACACACACACACACGCACACACACACGCACAGACAGTAATCTCCTCTGTGCAAACCAGGTGCCACCAGCAGCTCAGCACAGACTGACACTAACCACCACCACCAACCCCCTCCAGCTCAGTTAAGTTATTGCACTTGTTACACACAAACTCCACACACACACACACACACGCACACACACACGCACAGCCAGTAATCTCCTCTGGGCAAACCAGGGGCCACCAGCAGCTCAGCACAGACTGACACTAACCACCACCAACAACCCCCTCCAGCTCAGTTAAGTTATTGCACTTGTTACACACAAACTCCACACACACACACACACACGCACACACACACGCACAGCCAGTAATCTCCTCTGTGCAAACCAGGTGCCACCAGCAGCTAAGCACAGACTGACACTAACCACCACCACCAACCCCCTCCAGCTCAGTTAAGTTATTGCACTTGTTACACACAAACTCCACACACACACACACACACGCACACACACACGCACAGCCAGTAATCTCCTCTGTGCAAACCAGGTGCCACCAGCAGCTAAGCACAGACTGACACTAACCACCACCACCCACCCCCTCCAGCTCAGTTAAGGTATTGCACTTGTTACACACAAACTCCACACACACACACACACACGCACACACACACGCACAGCCAGTAATCTCCTCTGGGCAAACCAGGGGCCACCAGCAGCTCAGCACAGACTGACACTAACCACCACCAACAACCCCCTCCAGCTCAGTTAAGTTATTGCACTTGTTACACACAAACTCCACACACACACACACACACACGCACACACACACGCACAGCCAGTAATCTCCTCTGGGCAAACCAGGGGCCACCAGCAGCTCAGCACAGACTGACACTAACCACCACCACCAACCCCCTCCAGCTCAGTGAAGTTATTGCACTTGTTACACACAAACTCCACACACACACACACACGCACTATATAGCTCAGCACTCAAGCACCCATATTGTGATTACAAAGACATTTTCACGTCTTTTTTATGTTAGCGTGTGTTAGCATCTCTCTGAAACAACCATCTCTGGATGAAGCCTGACTTGACCTTCAGGTGACCTGTATTATTGAATATGACAGCCTGCCCAAATAGCGAGGAGCAAACCAACACCTGTAAGCATCTTTGGTTACGGTGAGGAAAATTAAAGGAGGCTTAATCTGCCGCCTGTGATCCATTAATATGGTGTTATCTGATCAGCTGTATCAACATAATGAGTCAAAATGAAAAGACAGGATGAAAATGATGAAAATACTTTTGAGGGATATTGCTCAAGAACAAGAAATAGCTATGAGCAAAATAACAAATGAAACCATTGTTGTTTCAGCACCTTGACTTAGTTTACTTCAAAGAAATGAAACTGTCCTTTTTTTTATTTGGAAAGTTTGTTTCAATTTGCCTAATGATTCATTTCTAATTAAAGTCTTCTCTACAGATCATCTGTCTTCTCTTAAATCAGTGTGTTTGCGCTTTAGCTCGTCAGCAGACATGAACAAACGAGTGAGTTGATGGATGGTCAACCACAACATGTAACTCCACCAGTACCTGTTGCTCTAAACAGGTAGCTTTAAGTAGCAGTAGTAGTAGCAGTAGCAGCAGTAGTAGCTAGAAGTAGCTCAAATCTGTGGTTTTCCTTTTTTTAGTTTTTTACAGGTAAAAATGCCTTTATTTTCATTCATTTTTTTCCTCCCTCCTTTTTCAAAATAGATCCTTGACTTTCTCTTTAATTTGGTATTTCCTCCTGCCTCTGGTACGTCTTATTGTACTTCCTGTCATCACTTGTTCTTTGACATTGCTCTGATTTCTAACTTTTACTTCCGAAAGAGAATTCCAGTTCACAGGACTTACATTTTTCTGGGCGATAGTGATGAAAGTGTTGACGTTGACCCTACCAAAGGGGGCGCCACAGAAAAAACTTTGGGAACCACCTGATGTCTGAACCCAAAATAAGAAACTATTTCAGGTGAAACGGATGTAAAGGATGAAAAGTATCAGCCTTACATTTACATAATGGACTTTTGGTTTTATCAGCAAAGTTTCAAAGGGGTTCAATAGTAAAATGGATCTCCTTTATAGAGTTTCCTGACATGTTGCCTCCTCTGTTACAGTGCCTCCAGATAGTTGTAAAGAAAATGTATGCTGACCAAATTGTTGTGGGTTTTATTGGCTTCTTAAAGAACTGTAAGGTATTCAGTTTAATTTTCTTTACTAGACACAACTGAGAGAAAATAACACTGGTCAGTGAATGTTGATTGTCAGTCCATATAAATGTTGATTAATTTGTACTTTGAAGGAAACTTCAGTCATAACCACTATGATGATGTCATGGTTCAACTTCTCAGTTCAACTTTATAGATTCCAATAACAACAACTTAACATCTGTCACGTCTGAACCGATAACCAGAGCCAGACTTTACTACAAGTACACACAATAAATGTTGTACACTAAGGTGCATGCATGTGTGTGCTATTTGTGTGTGTGTAGTGAGCCAGTAGTTGCACTGTATGGTGAGGTGCGTCAATGTGGAGGATGAGTGATTACAGTGGACAGTAATCCTGCACTTGGATTAGCAGATGGTATTAGTAGGAGAAGCGGGGGCGAAGACCACAATGGCGCCACCGTAATGACACAAGCCTGCGACGGCCCGCACGTTCATTTTTTTCCTCCCTCCTTTTTCAAAATAGATCCTTGACTTTCTCTTTAATTTGGTATTTCCTCCTGCCTCTGGTACGTCTTATTGTACTTCCTGTCATCACTTGTTCTTTGACATTGCTCTGATTTCTAACTTTTACTTCCGAAAGAGAATTCCAGTTCACAGGACTTACATTTTTCTGGGCGATAGTGATGAACGTGTTGACGTTGACCCTACCAAAGGGGGCGCCACAGAAAAAACTTTGGGAACCACCTGATGTATGAACCCAAAATAAGAAACTGTTTCAGGTGAAAAGGATGTAAAGGATGAAAAGTATCAGCCTTACATTTACATAATGGACTTTTGGTTTTATCAGCAAAGTTTCAAAGGGGTTCAATAGTAAAATGGATCTCCTTTATAGAGTTTCCTGACATGTTGCCTCCTCTGTTACAGTGCCTCCAGATAGTTGTAAAGAAAATGTATGCTGACCAAATTGTTGTGGGTTTTATTGGCTTCTTAAAGAACTGTAAGGTATTCAGTTTAATTTTCTTTACTAGACATAACTGAGAGAAAATAACACTGGTCAGTGAATGTTGATTGTCAGTCCATATAAATGTTGATTAATTTGTACTTTGAAGGAAACTTCAGTCATAACCACTATGATGATGTCATGGTTCAACTTCTCAGTTCAACTTTATAGATTCCAATAACAACAACTTAACATCTGTCACGTCTGAACCGATAACCAGAGCCAGACTTTACTACAAGTACACACAATAAATGTTGTACACTAAGGTGCATGCATGTGTGTGCTATTTGTGTGTGTGTAGTGAGCCAGTAGTTGCACTGTATGGTGAGGTGCGTCAATGTGGAGGATGAGTGATTACAGTGGACAGTAATCCTGCACTTGGATTAGCAGATGGTATTAGTAGGAGAAGCGGGGGCGAAGCCCACAATGTCTCCTCTGAACTGACACAAGCTGCAGCAGCAGCAGCAGCAGCAGCAGCAGCAGCAGCTCTGAGGGCCTCACGTCCTTCTGCTTTACACCACACCAACACACAGACACACACTGCCAGGGCCACACGACAATATGATTTGATGAGTAGCAGTAGCACGAAAAAAAGTGTCTGACTCTTTAGGATGGCTAGGACATTATCATAACAATAAATAGACCATTTGTAATATATGCAAATGTACATTTTTGTCCTCATACTTGTACAATATTATCCATAGTGTACCTTGCACAAAAGATGACCTGATAAAGTTTAACCTTGCTGGAGGTAAATCTGACCGAAACTGCAAATGAATTTCCTTCCACAGGAGAATAATTTAAAATACCAGTTTGGAAAACCTCTCATATTCAGTTACAAAGTGATGAACACTATCCATAATAATGTTTATTTACTGTTTATACAAGGACAAGTAAAAAAAGAAGTTGTAAACCAATTGGATTCAATCTTTATGTATAGTATACGTATTTGTGAAGTTGAGGTTGATAGTTATCAAGGGTTCTTCCGTAGCATCCATGATCGAGGTTAAACTGACATCTGGTGGACAGGTTTCTACATAACAGATTACTCGACTAAATGTGACTAAATGAATGGAAAGCCCTAAGCGCGGACAATTATAAATATAGTTTAGATTTCTCGTAACTATCATGTTAAAATGTAAATTATTATTTCTGTCTGTTTACCGTTACTTAATCATTTGAATTGATATGCAAAATTTGATCTAAATTTGTTGTATATTTATGCTCAGTTGTTGACAAAGACTGCAGGTGATAATGCCAGGTGATTGGCATTAGCCAATACAACGAATGACTGTTTTGTTCTTTTTTGTCAAATTAAAAGATAACATGAAACAGATGAAAGGTAGACTTGATGTAATGACAGCATTTCGTTCGTTGAACTGGCCCCCAAACGCCTTAAAACTAAACAAACCATGCAAATCCAGTCCATGTGGTGTCAACATTAACCGCTGTGCGGCAGTAAAGTACACATATACCGTTGAATCTATTTACAATTTGCAGCATGAAGTAAAAAAGAATGCGGCGCTTTAAAATAATCTGTGTAAATTGTCATTCAGGGGACAAAATCGTTAAATTATTTACTTTAACTATATTTAACGTCTACCGTTTAACGTAATCAGTTGTTGTTCATTGAACTGATGTTTTTATTTCGCTAACAAGACAAGTATTAACATTTTGTCCAATACAAAACAAGAAAAACGTGCAAGACATTACACTTTTTAACATTTACGATAAATAATACAGAAAAATATCAGGCATATTCATTTAAAATTAAAATAATATATGTTGAAAGAACAATTAATAGGATTTAGAGCGCATTTCCTTCATAACTTTAGCTCTTTTTCGTCAAAATAACATTGAAAGCCACGATTTCTGATTTCATTGAACGCAGCTTTGCACAACCTGGATGTGTTTCCAAAGGTCAGTCCGTTAAGTTTGTTTTGGAACAAACGGGAAACTAAATTGCAATTTAAAGCAAATTAAATATAGCTGTTTAAGAATATGGTACAAACTGAGCGTTCTACATATATGCTAATAGGCGTCCCCGGTTTACTCTTTATTTATTTGTCCTAATCTAGCGTGTCGTTAACAGCACTTCAGCACTGCAGCTCAGTTTGTACAGTCTCAGTCGGCAGAATGCTCCGTGAGCTCTATCCCTTTGTGGAGGACAGTTTCAGTCGCTTCCCGTCGCAGAGTAACATTTACGGGCTGTGTCAGGCCGGGGAGCAGGAGTTGCTGGCAGCCACTCTCAAAGGAAAGGTGGTGTGTTTCAGATACCAGGAGCTGCAGAACAAAATAAGACCCGTTGCCAAAGAGGTCCAGTTCACATACATCCCAGGTAATTAAAAAAACAGTGGTTTGGTAGATGCCAGCCTAGATATAACTGGTATTTTAAGAAGCAGTCAAGAGAGCAAAAAAGTACTGGATGATGGTACAGGGTTGTACAACGATATCAAAACAGTGATGTCAGGTTTATGGAATGAGTTACAGATAAGTTCAGTGCAGGGGTGAAGATACATCAAGGTTAAGCACTAGGCATCCTTTTTATTGCAGTAGTGACAGTCAGGTTGACAGATAGGTCTTTAGGACTGTCCTAAATACAGGAGATTAAAGGTTACTATGTGTGCAGAAGAGAAACAGTAGAATATTTGGACCAGGTATTGGGCATATTTATCTATATGATATAAATTGAATTTATTTTGTCTTCTTTTAGTTGATGCAGAAATTGTATCCATTGATGCCTTCAACAAATCTCCACCCAACAGAGGCCTGGTGGTCGGCATTACGTTTATTAAGGTATTTACATAGCTAAATAAATGTGTTAGCATTTAAAGCATTGGCATGCATACAAAATGCTAACAATGGTAAATTCCCTCCAAAATAAAAGCACTAAACCTTTGCATTGATTGATTTCCACCAGGACTCTGGTGATAAAGCCACTCCTTTCCTAAACATCTACTGTGATTATGAGCCCGGTTCAGAGTTCAACCTGGAGTCTATAGCTCGTAAGTGTAAAGCACAATCCCAGTGTGTCTGATATTCACTATACCACACTGTCTTTACTGACTGCTAGTGTTTCTGTAAACAGAAAGTTGTTTGAATCTGGAGCTGCAGTTTACACCGTTCCAGCTGTACCACACTGAGTGAGTTCACTGCTCTCATTAAAAACAAACCAAATATTTATTATGACAAAAATGAAAAGAAAAAAGTCTGCTTTATGAAGTGATTACATGAGCCCCTTTAATGTAGTTTGAACTCCTTTCTGTAGTTACATGAAAACTTTTTTCATTAAAAAATGTATAAAATAAAATGTGACTATATTTTGTTTTTAGAAAATCTGCAGAAATAATCTCTCTTTCTCTCTCTCTGTCCGTCTTTCTTTGTGTCAGAGTGCAGTGTGAGGATGGTGGCAGTGAGACGGTGTTTCTACTCAGCGGCCATGACCAGAGAATACACCTGTATAAGGAGGTCAGCTAATTTGAAGACATAAAAATCTTTTTCTATCTTATAATATTAAGTATGGATATTTTATGTATGCAGTGCACTGTTTATTTTTCTTCTAGAGGCTTGGTTAAAATGTCAGCACCTACTTTTAACGTGACATTGACATGACATTGACATGATTTATTTGACCCTGACAGTATGTCCTCTGTTTCCAACAGAATGCCTCCCTACACCAGTTTGAAGAGCAACCTGTGGAGAAACTTTTTCCTGAACTACAACAGCTGCCTAGCAAGTCAGTTGCTCTGTGTTTCGCTCTGCACTGTGTTGATAACGGTTCTAAACATTTGGTAATGTTTTGATCTTATCTTTGCCAAAAGTCTAAAATGTAACACAGACGATAAAGTAAAGTTGTTTCTAACTTATCCACAGAAAATGAAAGTACATAACTAAATAGATTCTTCCCTTCTCTTTCTTTGGTGGGTGCTAAGTGCTACTCTTTCACAGTGTGGTCAAATTGGATTCTTTGAAAACAATTTGTCCATGAATACAAACAAATGTATGCTTTTCTTGTCACAGAGTGCTATAGCAACAGAGTTTTAGTTGTAAAATTGTAAAAACATCAGTTGTCATAATAGACCAGTGGATCTTGACGGATCAGGAAATATCTGTTTTGTGTTGTGTTTATGGCTTTTGACCCTCAGTGCTGTACTTTTTTTACAGTGTTCTCTGGATGGATGTGTTGAATTTAGCAGACGGCCGGCGTATCTCAGCGTTCGGCTGTCAGAACGGCTGTGTTGTGCTGGCTGTGGTAAACCAGACTGGACCAGGTGGGTGCGTTATATATCAAAATAATGAAATTCTTTACATTTAAACAATGAAAATTGCGGATAATTGTTTGACCCTTTTTTGACTCAGACAGTTAATCACTCTTTAAATTTGCTAGTGCAGCACATCAATGTTAATAATCAATAGTTGTTGGCAGGTTTTTAGAATATCATTTGATTTATCAGTGGCATTTCTCATCAAATTGAAATAAAATCAAAACTTCATCTCGTAGCACCTTGTCTGTTCCTATTCTGAACTCTCCTGAAGCATTCAGATGTACAAGGAGGTCCTGGACGTGATCAGTCTTCTTCCTCTGTAGCACATGATTATCACCACAGTCACAGACGGCCACATCAGGAAAAGAAAACTTTCTTTTGAGTCATCGACTTCATGTACTTGACTCACTGCGTTTATGTCTGACTGCTTCAGTCTCTTAGGAAATAAAGAGGAATTAAACGGCCTCACTGCCTCCATCCCACTCAGTTACATTTAAACAAAATCCAATATTTAAACCAATACAGTCAAGTCTGCTCAGCATTTATGCACTGTTGTTTTTACCGCTTTCCATTTGAAATGAAGTGCTGAGAACGTCCAACGAGGCAGCAGCAATAACACAGGCTTATTGGTGAAGTGATGCAGCTCAGAGTTGAACAGTGGGAGTCTCCACTGACAATTACAGCATCTCTACACTCATGAACAGGGATATTAATTATTTTTCATTCAACAGAAATTTTAACGATCATACAGACTAGACAGTGGTAATAAATTCAGTTCAGCATTTGTTATGAACAGATCTAAGCAGGAAGTCGGATTTAAAGAGGCTTTTCATTGTAGTTGATGTATGTCACACGGAGCGACAACTTATTTACTATTTCTCAATGTGTTTTGATGATCTTGTCTGTTCTACTAGAGGTTTTGCAGAGCTGGAGGGTCCAGTTTGACAGTCCAATCTCTACAGTCCTGCTGTTTCCTCTGAACGTCTGCACAAGCAACGACACGGGTATTTAACTGATCTGCAGGTTTATTATTTATTTTATTCTGTTTTTTTGTAATCTAAATATGGCTGCTTTTTTGTTTTAGGTGTCAAAAAGGAGAGCTACAACCTTCTAGTTACCAGCACCATTCAGGTGGCAGTTGTGTACAGGTAAAAACCAGATAGTCTTCTAGAGGTCCTACATCTATATTTGAATGCAGTTTAAATAGCGAGTATTCAGGGGAATGGGGTTATTGTTGGTAAAAACTGACGTGTTGTACCTTGTTTTTCTAGTGTATTTTTCTGTATTTTCTGTGGCATTTTCATCTTGTAACTTTAATGTATTGGTAAGTGTGAAGAGAACAGTAATAATTGGCTCGGTGTTCTTTTTCAGAGATGTTCAAGAGTATGGTTTGTCTCGCTCTACATGTCTCTCTGAAAGTGACCACTGTGACGCAGTGCTCTGCGCTCTGGTCATCGACCTGGATTTTGATGGACAAAAGGAAGTCTTACTTGGTACATATGGACAGGTCAGGAGTTCTCTTTAAAGATCAACTGTTATATCTGTGAGGAGAAAAATCTGGAAGTTTTTGTCCAGTAAATTGCTACATACAGTATTTCACTGTTAAAAATAGACTTAGTAGTAAATTAGGCTAAAAACATTATATTGTAGTACTAAAATACTGTTTAGTGGTTGTAACAGTGAGATATTGGACAAAAGGTAGTACACCAGGGCAATACATTAGTTGGCAAAGTGTTGAACTGTTGATTATCTTCTGAAGTAAAGGTTTGTTTTGTTCAAATTTGATTTTTGTTTTGCACACTTAAAAGCAACGACATCTACTGTGTGTATCTACAGTCTGTTGTGACAGAGGAGGACAAATGTGAAACATGTTGACATTTCATTATCTTCACCATCACTATCTATTATCATTCTTCCACTGTTACAGCTGAGATCATCAACAGCTTTACGCCTGATTTAACACGAACAGTAGGAGCAAAAACTGATGGACTGTAACAGGGAGGGACGTGTCGTGATCAACTGATGCTGCTGAGGTGTTGAAAATAACAGTACTGTCCACGTGTCTGCCCTGCAGGAACTTCAGTGCTACAAATTCAGTCCGGCAGGGAGTCGACAGTTTCAGCTGCAGTGGAGGCGGAGCTTCACCAGTCCTTTGCTGTCCATCAACTATCTAGATTTGACAGGGGACGGTGTGAGAGAGCTGGCTGTTCTTACCCTGAAGGGACTGCATATCTTACAGGTGTGTGTGTTACTGCATCACTACACTTGACCAAAATTATAATCTGCATTACTGCAGGGTGACTTTTACTGACATCTACTGGTGAAGAGCAGTGTAAGATGCGAGGGATTATTATATGTATATGTATGCATGGCTATTAATGCAGCCATAGCTCATCACCCAGCACACCGTCTCACACCTACCATCACTCATCATGTTTGATGTTGATATTGTTTGTCTGTGCAGCACAGCCTCACCTGCACTGCTGATGTGGTCCTGGAGCGACTAACACAGAGGGTGTCAGCACTGACAGCTGGCTGTGGGCCAGTGCCAGCCAAAGTTCAAGACTCCGAGGAGAAAGATGTTCTAGCGAAGACCAAGGAGTGTTTTGCTCATACATCATCAGAATGAGCAAAACACCGGCATTCTTTCCCCTTTGTACCGTTATTGCTTTACACTGTGCCTTGAGATTTCTCGAAGGTGTGTCTCTTCCTGCAGAGTCAGCTGTTGCCATGATTACAGACATAGGGAGAAGGTTTACTGTCTCTGCTAGTTATTAGCAACAGGTCCAATTCATGCAAGTACTGTAACATAAAACCTAAAACCTATAACATAAAACATAATACAATTATACATTAAATATACTGTACATAATACAATTATACATTAAATATACATGACATCAACGTAAGGTTTTGTTTTGTGTGTTTACTTTAAACCTAACTGAACTGTTGTGTAGCACATTGAAAAGTCATTATCGTCAATGTTTCCAGCAGTTATGTGACTTCCATTAAGTCAAATAACTCAATGTTCCATCACAAGCATTCTTCAATGAATCACAGTCATTGTTTTAAAAAAATCATACTGCATCAAACCAAATGGAAAACTGCAGAGTAAGACTGTTAAAAAAACTGTATCAGAATTTGACTATACTAATTTTAGGTTAACTTTAATAATAATACACTAACATATATAGTTAGTAGTTTAATAAACACTAATAACTAACTGTCTGTAACAAGTCATATTCAGTTTACCCAGATTAGACTTTTGTCTGACTTTTGTCAGGCAGAATCAGGGGTATTTTATTTATTTTTACTTTTGTTTAAGCAGCAAGTCTCCGCTGAGGCCTGTCTTTTACAAGAGACATCAAAATAATAATAATATGAACTTAAAGGTAAATAAAATAAATACATATTGACATGGGAAATATGCAGTCCATTGAGCCTAGTAGGAGTTGGTGCTCTGGGGTCGCAGCAAATTCCCAAGGGCCACCCCTTGGGGGCGCAATTGCCTTTAGACCACACAGTCCTTTGAAACATGTTTTTTCTACATTGTTTTTGAACAACTAATACAATTGACCATAATCTAATCACATTTGTTTGTTATTCTCTTTATTAGGGCGGACAGTTATTGCAAACTCTTGTAAATGTCTCCGTCTTTTGGCCCCCCAGTGGCACTGTAGTCCTGTCTGACTGTGAAACTACAGCGACTCTTCCCTCTGACTACAAAGGCAAGGCAACAATAACAACAGCTGCACTAATCACACACCGAGGACCTGACGGAGACACGGCGAGAGGATGACTTCAGAAAGCCTGCCTGCACCTCCTGCTCTGCACTTGTCTCCGCGGCAGCTGAACGTGTGACCACATTTATTTTTAAGGAGCCTCATTTCTGCGCGTCAACAATATAATACTGAACACACTGCTGGTCCTGGAGCGACGCCTTCAAGGAGCGCTTTTCTCCCTCTGATTGTTATATTTAGCTGTGAGACACAGACGCAGAGAGGTGCAACGCTGCCCGAGCAGCGGGAGAAGGGGAGAACGACCCCCGACCCCTCTGTTGTCCAGCCTCTGTGCTGCCGTTTACAGCAGTTACACACATCTCAACTTGTCGTTCACTTTGCGTTTTTAGGCGATGAGCTGGCCGTGAATGCGCCCCGTGCGTGTGCGCGTGTCTGTGTCTTAGCGACAGGAGGAAAACAGGGATTTTAGCGCAAAATTGTCTCTCGTGTGGGAAAGAAAAAAAGAAGATGATGATGATGGCCGGTGGTGGAGGGGCAGCGGTGGACCACAACGGGATTTACACCAACCCCAGCCTGCACAGCCTGCAGCAGAGCCACATGGACGCTGAAAACCCGGACTCCCGCAAACGGCCGCTGGAAACTCCGGCGGAGGAGGCCGGAGGTACCAACAAGCGCACCAACGTCGGAGGTAAGAGAAGCAGAACGCAACTCATCACCATCTTGTTGTGTATTTACAGTTAGAAGTGCAACGGACTGAGTAGTTAGTGCCGTTCCTTCACAGCAACGAGAATACCGGTTCGATTCCCGGCAATAACTGACAGTCCTTTTCGGAGTTTGCATGTTTTTTTTTTTTAACTGACCCGGGTTCTCGGTACACTCTCACCCGGCGACTACTAGTAACTATTGAGTTTGACTGCAGTCCTCGCACAGGAAGGAATGAAATAAAAGCTGATCTGTGTAAGTCAGGCCAACACGACCACCTAGCATCTGTGCAAAAAAAGTGATAGTTAATGACCATGACGTCACACACGGCAGCCACTGAGCCAGCAGCTCTGACCTCCTCAGCCCAGGTCAGCCTTAGGGATGAACTCACTCACCTGCCTCCAGTAGGTGGGGAGGTCAGTGAAGAATCACCTGTAATGGCTAAAACTTCTTTTCAAACTCCTAGTGTTTTCCCCCATAAAGCCAACAGTTACCAACATCAGCATTAAGTCCTGAGCTGAGAACTTCTGTGGCCCCAGGACTGATGATCTACATTGTTTAAGGTTGTTTGGATACTCATATCTATTTACTACAACATTATCTGGCTGCTCATTGAGATTTTGATCTGATACACAGTATATCTCATATATAGCCATGCCACCTAGATTCTGACCATATACAGTACACGTGCTGAATGTTGTCATCGCAGACTGAAAACCACAGCCATCAGATGCTGATGATTGGCGTTCTCCACCTGCAGTGACAACTCTCTAAAGAATCCTGTGAAAAATATTGTTCTGTTTCACTCCCGTTCACATTTAAGTCAAATGACAAAAGCTTCACATTTTATTTTTATTAAATCAGAATCAAAACTTTTCTTTGCTTGCAATGATTTTTGTCGGCTCATAAAATGTTCCAAAGCTCAGAATATGTTAATTTAGCAACTAATTAGTTCATGAATGAACAATGTCAGGAGCTGAATGTGTGTCTGAGGTGGAAAAAGGAAAAACTAAGAACAGTACTAGGTACAGAACCACATGTCCTTTGTCTATTTGCTTTATCAGGGAGCACCAGAACAGATTATCCATGTAATGACTTAATTCCAGTTTAATGCATTTCCTGGTACATTTACCAGGGTTGGGATAAGGGGGATAAGAACCTGGGACACTTTTCTTTTTCTTTCTCACTTCTCTACAACACTTCCTCTGCTGAGATGAGGCCCAGGGGGATCCCAGCTGAACCACAGCAAACCAGAGGTATTGTGATTTCACCCCAGTGTCATTTCAGTCTTCTGTACTCTACGGCCTACAGTATAATGTAAGACAATTCTTACCAAATTGTAAATTCTGACGTCCAACGTTAGCTCCTGAAGGAGTGTCCCTGTTCAGGGTCATGGGCTTTTACCTGCTTCGTCTGTCCTATTTTGGTCCCTTTCACACCACAACTATAAATGACACATCCAACACCATTGCAGACTAAGTCAGCACCAAACAATAGTTATTTATAGGTTGTGGGTTGAGCTAGACCTCTGTTTGTGACTACAACTACTAGTGTGCTAATTAAGATGGGTGCAATTGCTAAAGATGAAGAGTTTTTTTACTGGAAAGTTAGGTTCTTGACTTAAAATCCCTTGTAAAGTAAATAAATTGTAGAGATTAAGATGATTTTGGTTTTTGTCATGGTGAAAAATCTATGTACATGTGCAGGTTGACGTGTGATAAATGGGATAACAGCTGATTCAGTTTGTCAGTTACTGTAAGTCTTATTCAGCTGGTGATTCTTGTGTGCTGTGCAGGGGGAGCTCTTATTCAACAACTTGATGTTAATTAGACATCCTCAGAGACAAGGCGGTTTCTTCACCATATGTTCTATCTAACATTTGTCCCTCTTTGTGTCACACACACTCGCACACACACGCGTACACTCGGCCATTCAGTGACAGTAGCATTATATCCTGTTTCGAGCAGCATGAGTGCATCTTTGCTGCACATCACTGCACCTGAGAATTGTTATTTCAGAAGGGCACACACAGACCCTCGTGCCAGCAGATAGTATTTTAGAGCACATTCGGCCTCCATATGTCGTCCGTTAGCACTACTGAAGCAGTGTCTAACAGAATAGTCACACCATATTTTTGCCTTTAAATTTGGAGAAACTTTAACCAGTAACAAAAATGTATTTTTTTCAGACATTTTCTTTCAGTATCTCCATCAAGAGTGTGGTCAATAGAAGAAACGACAGTGGCTGACTTTTTACAGTCTTATTTGTTAAGGCAATGTTCCTTCTACAAATTATAATGGCAAACAGTGTGTAATAGCCTATGTAATATATAGTTTACTGCCACAATCATGTTGAATGACATTTAAAAATAAATGATATGAAGTAATTGGCCAGAACAGATAAAATAATGTCTTTAGTTGTTGAGTCACGGGTGAGGGACTTTTAATTATTTGTCACTGGCAGCTAAAAGTGTCAGATAAATAAATGACGCCGTCTTTTAATTAATTTCCACTTGTAAGAAAATCAATTGTTTTATGCAATTAATCTGCTGCTCTATAATAGTAGTCTATTAGATCAATATTATCAATATTATGTGTTCATTATGTAAATAATCAAACATGGCAAATGTTACGTAGATTTGAACAGCAGCACTTGCATAAAATGCAGCATCAGATTACTTTTTTTCCTGCAAAAACGTTTTAATAATCTCAGCGTCTTCAAGCGAGTTCTGTGTTTTATCGTCAACACCAGACTTTTGGTGTGCGTGCGTACTATGCATTAAATGCAACACTGCAGACCTACAGCCTGTCTGGCAGCAGTGGGAGACAGCCTTACACTGAACCATCCCTGTAATCACCCACCCCGTCCCCCTGACTGTGTCTGATATTGATCACGTTATTCCAACCAAACTGATCATTAACATGACTGGCAGCTACAACAAAGAGGAGAAAGACTGTGCTCTTTCAAAGCTCAGACTCTCATTGTGCATTAAAAGCTGTGGACACCCAATGAGGGAAATTACTCCTCTTTTATCAGCACTGCCTCTTTCACCTCCAAGTGTGCATCTTTCATTCATTTCTTTTTCTAATTACCCATACTCTGAGCCCATGTTGCTGGCAGGCACACACCTTCCAAAAGGTTCTGGGGCTGAGGGATTAGGTATGATCTCATAATGTTGCTAATGGAAAGGCTGGCAGCGGAATGGGAGCTGTATTTTTTTTTAATTTTTGGTGGGAAGGACACAGGTGCCCTTGCAGAGTGATGTAACGTGAGTGGACTGTGAATTTGCCAGGTGGCACTGAAAGAGAGAAAGAGAAGGGGGAAAAAAAGGAGATAGATAGACCAGGAGAGGGAGAGAAGTCTACAGAGAGGCTCTGTCTATTTACCAGCGCATCTTTTTAAGGGTATAGCACTCATAGAATTTTTTGGAAGGGGTTTATTTTTGAACAAATGGGCCATACACTGAACGTCTCATGTGTGGAGGGAAGATATCAATAGCCAGGAATAAGAGGATTTTCTTTTTTACAGGTTCTCGCAAAAACACTATGTAGAAAAAAAAAATACAACCTAGGTACCGTGTTCACGCACAGACAGTGACAGGCATGCACAATGCAGTTTTCACACACTTAAGATACCTCCCGTCGTTGGATTTATAGGCGTAGTGATTGGCTTCATCATCCCCCCTCCACCATTCTGCGGCACTGCCATTTGCAATGGTTGATGAGCCCCTCCGCCCTCTCAAACATGGCCGTCTAAGGGATGGGGTGGGGGAAAGGAAGAGAGGAGGGTGGGCGGCGTAAGGCACGCTGGCTCAGATCACTCCTCCTCCAGCTCCTTTATTAACTGCTAATCTTATCCATACACCTCTCCAGCCACTGTTGAAGGTCACTATATACGCTTCCCCATTCACCACTGATGTCCGCTCACTCATCCTCTTCACCTTTGTCACTTTCTGCGAAAAAAGTGAGTGAATGGACTGCCATACTTTATAGTGCTGCGTCAAAAGAGGCGGAGTAGAGAAAGAAATTCAATTTTTTGGGACCGGCATCGGGAGGTGGGGACATGACGTGTTGCAGGAAGGAAGCTGCCCATTGGCCATGTGAGGTGTCAGTCCTGCGTAGTGCTGCAGACGGACAGGCTACTCGATGAATATGGATGAGAGCAGTGAAAAGGGTGATGCGGCAGGGAAGACCCCCCCTCCTTCAAACCGATGCAGGCTTGAACAATGCGTGCCGTCTCTCACTGAAAACACTGAGAGCCTGCATTAGCATTTTCTCAGACAATTGAGGCTCTGGCCAGCTGCAGGCATGGCTGGGATGCTGCGGTGAAATTTCTTTTTCTGCACCCACTGATGAATTAAACCTCGGTGAAAAAGGTCGACTGGCCGCATTCCTCAACACTACCATTGTACCTATGTCTAGGCTAATAAGATCCCCTTTAGAGATTGTGTCCCGGCATTGATGGCGATCTGACAGAGGACTTGAGAAGCAGCAGATCTGAAAATGGGTAAGCGTCAAACTCTTTTTGTCTGACTTGTTGAATTTATCCATCATGCTAGACTACGTGTAGTTTAATACACCAAAAGCTCATTTGTCCGAGTTAACTCATTTTTCCGTTCCGTCATCTCTGCTGTCAGTCAGGACAGGTTAGTCCATTGAAATGCAGAATGGATACTTGGAAGGGTTGTGAGAAGGAGGGAGGACAGTCACAAGGCATTTCCTCCTGACCCACCCCCCTTGAGTGACTTAACTAAACGCATTTGGCTCAGTGTATGTGATTCTCCTCCAAGCCATCCTTGCAGTATTGGAGGCAGGGGTTTGAACTCACACCCCACTGGCTCAGCTTCCCAATGTCTCCCACTGCTCCTTCTCCCTGGCGGACTGCAGCAACAGATTGCCATGTTTACTCTACCACATGACGCCATTAAAACCTGTTACTGTGATCTCAGACACTGGGACAGAATTAATTATTGAGTAATGACAGCAAACGTGACTGTGTCTCAGCCGCTTCCTCCGCTGCTGCCTTTACTCCTTGAAGATGAGCTTAAAGTTACGCAATGGTTTTGGGCTTGTCTGTCAACAACAGGTCTTTGTATGTTTAGATTCTGCAGTCAGCGTCATTAGTAATTAAATGTAACGTCAGGGTCTGGTGCACGGAGTGAGTGTTCCAAAGCTTTATGGCGACCATATCAGTCAAGCATGATCTTTATTCTTTCACCAAGGTCATTTTATTGTTATTCGTTTCTGTGAAAAGCAGAGTGTGGGCTGCAATGTAGCGATACATTTTATATACCAGTAGAAAGCGAGAGGTGATCAATATTTGTATCATGATGTCATCGTACAAGAGAAATTTTCTATTTCTTTTGTGTAAATGATGTCAGAGAATTGACCTGAACCTTTAAGCTTTCGATGGGGGAGTGAAAATGGTGCTGACAAACAAATGTGGATATAAGATGTTCTGGGATTTGGGAATGTGGATGAGAACTACAGCTACTTAATTAGAATAAAAAGAGAAATTAATTTAACAATCGTGCTATTGTCAAATATTTGTCAGAGGCATTGTTAATGGGCGATATAGTCAAAATCAGCCTGTGTCTGAATGGAACATGAGGGGCATATTAATGCAATAAGGAGAAGCATGAACTTGTAGGCTGTGAAACTCCTTCATGTCACAGTGCCATGTTCATTTACATCTGAATCTAATGAATGCATTACAGAGGCAACAGGTTGGTTAAATCCAGGGTGGCACGCCTCCATCCATCTGACTCCCACCACTACTAAGCCCATTGCATGCCCCCACTCATATCTGACACACTTTAATACCCACAGGACGCACCGTAGTGTGTAGACAGACTCTTGTGAGACGTGGTAAAAACTGGACAAATCCTCACTGTTTCAAATTCAAACAAGAAATCCGACCATTTAAATGTGGACGTGAGCTTTGCATCTCCGACCGCTTCCGTGGCGTCACCCTTGAGGAGTCTGAGCTATAGCCAACATGACGTCACTGCATCGAAATCACCACACAGAGCCTATTCCTATCAGTCCTTCAGGATATTTAGCTTGGAACTTAACCAATTGTTTAACAAAATGTTTAATATGCAACAGGGAACCATGTACGGTCGGAAATGAATTATTTCTGATGCCTCCTTGGCAGGCTCTTGTATTATATTTAGCTGTAAGCTCAATATGTGGTTGATTGCCTTTTACTAGATTAGTGCACTTAATGTGATCAGGGTTTTCCTGGACAGATACTTCACCCACTTTGGTGCTGATTAATTCTTAATTAGAAACGGCTGGAAAAGGGAACTTTCCCCAGTGAAAGAGTGAAGGATGTGTGGCTGCAAATTCTACAGACTGAAATACTGTCAATCACTGAACGGTTGAAGTCACTGTAAGCCACAGTAATCTCCTTCCAAAATGGAGATTTAGACCAACTTGGCACAATATCCTGCGGACAAATCTGTGGGATTGGAGCCCATATGTTCTTCTCACGTCTGTTAATTACAAAGGATCACTCTGTATTGGCATTAATCAACCGTCTTGATAATTGCTTCATGAGTTTGCGTTCTGTCTCCTGTGCTATTTGTCTGTCAGTGCAGTGGGAACTGTTCCGTTCAGACAAGTGTTGATTCTCCTTGCTTTTGGTTCAGGTGTGTCTTGACTTTGTATTTGGACAGAGGTTGCTAAAACTCCTTGAAAACAGTTAAAATTAGATCTCTGCAAACTGGAAAGGAGGTCATCATTTACTCTACAAGAAATCTGGGACAGGACCCAGAACATGTCACCTATCTCCAATAAAACATGAATGTACTGGAAACTCAGTAAAGTCCTCTAAATCTGTACACAATTGTGCATTAATTCTTGTAATTTGTTAATGTGTCCGTGTGGGATTTTTCTTTTACTGTTCGTTCTGGGTTTCGACAGCTTGGTGCTAATACAGTGTATGAGATGATGTCCACAGGTACTTTCTTCTTTTTTTTTTTGTCTGATGTAAACCTTTACCACTTTGTGTTCCTCCTTCCCCAGAGGAGGGTGAGTACTTCCTGAAGGTGCTGATCCCCAGCTATGCAGCCGGCTCTATAATTGGCAAGGGCGGCCAGACCATCGTACAACTGCAGAAAGAGACGGGTGCCACTATTAAGCTGTCCAAATCCAAAGACTTTTATCCAGGTAAGACTACACCAACACCACTGACCAACACAGAGTGTGTGTGTATGAGACGTCGTCCACGTGAGGCTCAGATTTTCCTTCTACTTTCTGCCTTTAGTGTGTCTAAGAGGAAAAGACAACAAAAAGACCCAGATAGATAATCCTTAATCTATTGTCGTTCATTTTGATCAGGCACTCGTGCAAGTTAGTTTGTATCACCCACTCTTTAGGTGTAGGTGGTATTAAGTGCTTAATAAATAACTACTATTTAATCTAACCATTTTCTTTTTTTTCTCTCTCAAATAAAGTAAACTGTTCATTATGCACAACATGTATACAGAGAATAATTTACAAAAACACACAGTTCCAATGCCACAGAAGTGAAGAAATAATACGTCCCAGATTAGATCTTTTAATACAGAGATGAGCTAACTGCTAACATGCTCCATTAGTGGGCCTCAGTTGCAAACAGTTGAATAATCCAATCTAAGTTGGACCAAAGTTTAGCTTTTTTTCCCACAGATAGTGGTTCTTAAAATATGCACAGAAAATGGTAAAATTAAAGCAACATTTTCAGCCGGATAAGTTGTTATTTGGATTTTGGATTTTTCACTTCACAAAACAATAGCGCTGAATCTGTCCGCTGTCTTCATAAGATGATTTTTTTTATGGCTCCTTGGTCATTATTGTACGTAGAGCAATCTGTGACTCTAAGGAGTAATTGGCGTTGCATGTCATTAAATACATTTATAAGTAGTATTGGTTTTTTTTGGAAGTAGAATCATTTGCTTTCACAGATCATTGGTTTATAGAAACATATCGCAGCTGTAAACTGCATGTTCATGGTTACGGGGTCATTGAATGTAATTAATGTTTTGTCCTTGAGGGATTTAACATGCCTCAAGGACAGAGGTGTTGCTGCTGTCCGACACTGCATTCGGGTCTGCAGATGTTTCCAGTTCCAGTAGAAAACTGCCTGGGTGGTGGCACTTTGTCAGTACAGTGGCTCTGTAGCATAAACAGACAAGAACTGCTCTTTTTGGGATAATCATTCACTGGTGCCATTTTGTTCCTGCCAAAAACGTGGAAAATTCTCTGATGATGAGGACTGGTACCGTGTACATTGGACAGCATTAATCCAGCTTGAAAGTGCCTCTTAAAAATGTCAAGAGGAAAGGGATGCTCGGTGGCCGCTGTGCACATTGAGGGCAAAGCTGAATCAGTCCATCCTCCAAACACAACGTGTGTGAGTTGTAGAAGAGTCGAGGTGTTTGTCCTTCATGCCTCAGAGAATCTCTCAACCTGATGAAAAATAACAGGTGCCGAGCGTCTCGCAACTTATTAGGTCCAGATGTTTTCTGTGATAACATGAGCCGGCAAATAAGGCCTGCGTAGTACTTGTAGTACTCGTAGTAGCATGCCTTAAACTTTTTTTTTTTTTTACACATTTAGAATATGAATGGCACAAATACAGAGAGTCTCTTTTAGCTTCTTTCTTAATCAGGACTCACCACAGTGGTAGTATATAAAGAATAATTTGTTACATACGGTGTATGCCCTTCCTGATGTAACCCACCCTGGGATTTGGTGACTAGTTGATGGACATTACAGACTTTACAGTTACTTCAAAGATATTTGAAGGATTTTGACCCCTGCCCCACTCCCCTGTTTTTTACATGTTCACATGTAACAGGCTACGTAGCAGACAGACTGAGCTGTAGCTGCAGAGTTACTGAGTGCTCGAGGGGAGAAGAAGGATGACCTGGCTGCACATTTTCCATCCTCCATGTTTCTTTTAGCTGTGGTGAAATGACGCCAGCTTAGAGATCTCTGCAGATTCTCCACACATGAGCCCAGCCAGGTTTAAGGGAATAAGTTATGGCTACTCAGCTGGCACCAGGCCCAATGAAGGAAGTGATATGTATCTCTATTTCTCTCTTAGGATTGTAAAAATGTTCATAGGCCACCACCTGCTCGGCCCATCCCCCCACTCATTATCGTGATGAGTGAGAAGAGGAGTTCAGGGACACTGCGCTGGCAACGATTTGATTGGTTGGTTGTTCTGTTCCAGACAAATGAAGTGAACCGACTGCCACTGTTGACACCACAATGGATCAGAGTGTTGCTTTCTCGTAGTGCAAAATTGAATTAGTGAATTATCCTTCAGTGTAGAATCAGGTATGATTTAACCAAGTGTTTGTCACACAGCCCGTGCTGCAGCAGCCGGAACAAACTCCTGAACTACAGCACAATCACACACAGGAGAAATCAAGGGACAAAACATGATGCAGCCATTTTCTTCCTCTCTTTCCTCGCTCTGATTGCTCACTGTCTTTGACACTCCCAGCCACCTCACGACTCCCATCCGACGGTGTCAAACATAAAATTGCGTATCCATATGTCTTGGCGGGAAGTGTACAAGTGAGCCCTGTGATAAGCAGACTGAGATGGATGAGCAGAGATACTGAAGGGTATGGATGATGCATGATTGTATGTGAGCGAGGGGACAGGGGGCCAGGCCCAGAAATAGCCCGTTTCAATCCCTCTCTGTGGACATGACCCCTCTCTCAGCTGCAATCAAGCTGCTCAAACACACGCCAAGTTTCCTCTTTACTCCTCCCCACTCACTGTTTGTCTCAGGGTTGGTTCCTGGTAGTTAGGGGAGTCCAGGCAGATAAGATTGCATCACACTTTTCTTAAACTTGTGTTTGTTTGCTTGTACGCCCCTTGAATCTCACTGGTGCTGACTATCGTCTTCTCAACATTTATTGTAAGCACAGTAAGGCTGAATGATTTGTGCGTTCATAAATACAGCATACTTTACATTCAGCCCCTCACACTGTGCATTCAACACACACACACACACACACACAGCCCTGCTTACACACATCTTCATACTTTAGCAGCTGCAGGGAGAGCCGTGGGAGTTCACGATTCAAACACAAACTTAGAAACAAAACTTCAAACCCTTGTGCTTTGTGCAGCTGGGCACTGGCCAAGAACGTGTATTGAGTTACTTTGTAGAGCACAAACCAGATGAGTGTGTTGTGATGTTGCAGAAATGCTGCAAGGATGTTTTTCACCAGCAGATCATTAAAATTTCAGTCACAATAAGTGACCTCATGCTTAAAAACTAAACTATTGCCCCAAAAAAACAGCCTCTTAGAAGGAACAAAAGAATAATAAAACCAAACTTGCATTAACCCAACTATAGATTTTGACTTTTAATGTTTTAAGTATGTTGTCATTAATTTTGTTCAAGTTGAGGTCTTGGGTCTGAATTTTTAATCTAACATGAACTAAAAATAATTTGTTTTCTAGATGAATTACTTTTCTTTCATGTGAATTTTCCGGACATTATTATAGGTTTAAAGCAGAGAAATCAAAGCACAGAACAAGTCGCTAGCAGGAGAAAAAACGTGAGTAATCTGTTCAGTAGTGCTTGAGGGAGTTTTTAACAATCTGGCAAAACAACCAGGATGATGTCACCAGTGTTATATCAGCCTGTGCTCGGACACTCCAAATTTTAACTGAATGCATATGTTGCAAACTTGGGATTGTGCATCTGAGATATGTCAGCATTCAGCAGTAAATGCAAAAAAATAACTGCTGTCCAGCAGTTTTTGAACCTAACGTCATGAAGGAAAATGAAGAACAGCCTACGTTTTCATGCTTCTTTAAATGTCAACAGTTTCCTCAACTTCTCAGTGATCTCCAGACTTTTTTAAGGGAAGCCAAATATTTTGTTAATAAAATCATAAATATTTATTCTGCATTTGCAATTTTCTACTAAACCCTGTTGGCCTAGAAAAAGCTATATAGCTAATTATTAGCTAAATTAACAAAATGTAACTAAGCTAAGCTCATACTCGGCTAAAATTTAGTAAATAATAGCAAGTTAAGTTTAAGTTAGCTCAGAAAATATCTTGAAGTTAGCCAGAAGACACATAGCTGACGGGTTTGCCAAAAGATAGTTGGCAGTTTTTATTAAATTTACCCGTAGACATTTCCCAGAGGCAAAATGTTACAGTGTTTTTGTTTTGATACTGGGCCATCAAGGTCATTTTACTGGATCAGTGGCAGACCAGCTAACTGTCTACTAATGGGTTCCAGATCCTTTATGATTCATAACTAAACTTTATATTTGCAAATTGTAGAGGTTGACTATAGCAGAAAAGAATGACCTGGCTGTTGGATTTGAGTTATATCATAGTTTTCTCAGTTCATGAAAAAAAAAATTAGGGCCTGCTCCAACCTGGACCAATACTAAAATCTAAACTGTCATGAAGCTCATTCGTCTCTTCACTCTGATTGGACATGTGGGAGTATCCCTTATGTTGGCAGGATTGTCCAAGCTCCGCTGTCATGGATACAACAACAAACATGCAGAGCACAGCAGAAGACTACACCAAACCTTATTGTATTGATTACAGTGATTGCAGTGTTTGTGAAATACCAATAGTTGGTAAGATTTGGTGTGAATTTGTTTTTTGGAAAATCTGCTTATTAGGTTTAGAGATTTCTCCTAACAGTATGTTTATTTAGCAGCAGCAGTTAGGGCTGATGGAGCAGTTCAAAGACAGAGACAGAGTGGTGACATCTAATTCCTTCTCCTCATCTTCATTTCATAATGTTTTCTTTTCAAGGTAACAAAACTGAACAATTTTTTAGGCAGGTTTACAAAGGTCATATTGGCACATTTTGTAAAAGCAGTTAATATGAAGCTAATGGGCCAAAGGCTGGAGGAGTTGTTTGTGCTCAGTAGTATATAATATATGCCCCTAATGAGAGACACCTCTGAATAGGCGGTTAATTACAGCAGCACACAGTGAGAGGACACTGCTCTGCTTTGGGTTGATAGTAGGGTTTTCACTAAACAAGCTGACAAGAGTACTGTCAACAATAAAAAGTGGTGGTTGGTGTGTGTGCGTGTGTGAGCGTGAGCTCAGCCCGTACCACGGAGAGGACACTAAGTAGGAAAATGCTTTCAGCCGGTTTTAATTTCTTCTCAATAACAGAAGGCTTTTTAATCCAAACGGAAACAAGTCTTCTCAAATGAAACTGACACTTTCACAACAGACATTATATAAATACAATTATGAATATAGTCAATGATATAATGAACAGGAAGAAAGCAGAGCCTTTAATTTATTGAAATATTTATATTTAAATTTAAACATTGTCTCCTCCTTTCCAGTGGTGAAAATGTCACTTACTTTAAATTGTTTGCCACTATGGTTCAATAAAAAGCATAGTACAAAACATAATGTTGAATAATTCTCAACAAGACGTTACCTGCTGGTGTATGAGTGCTTCATCTCTCCACTGTGCTTTTACACTGAGAGGACACATCTTACAGTCAGTCTTGCTCCTGCCTTTGTCCCCGATGTTAAAATACCTCTAAACTGCTGACATTGTTGACCTACTTATATAAACTACCTGTGAGGACAGTGGGACGCTGAACTGCAGTAGGAAAACAAATAACGGTGGCTGACCGGTGCACTGCAGTTCAACTGAAGAGCCTTTACAAAGTATCTATGTGGACTGTCTCAGCACATGTATTCCATCAGGAGTATATCAATGAAGTGCAGGTCCAGATACCACTGTTGGTGTCAATGCAAGACTGTGTGTTTTAGGAGTTACTGACAATGTGGCAATTAAGCCCTTCATGTCGCGTGACTGCCTGTCATAGATAGAGGGAGACAAAGAGTCGGAGTGAGATGTGACCATAAACATCCCAGCGCTTCATTACCATAAACACTGTAATTTATTTTGAGGCATTACTAATGCAGTATCAATGATACAGTAGCTCCTGCTGTTAGTACTCACAAATGTCCTATTTGTGTATTACTCCCTCTCTAAAAATAGTCCCCAACAAATGGGTTTCATCTCCCACATTGAGTTGTGCTCAACACAACCATGGTCACCTGTTTTAGGATATTTTAGATACGTGAATAGAATAGAATTGACTCTTATTTAGATGCCGACAGTAGAGTTAACATAAATCCAATACAAAGATTGCAACTGATTTGCTGTTGGGGCTTTACATAAAATAATTCTCATGATCAATAGATATAAATATCTGTAAGGCAATTATTTCTGAAGTTGTACCGTAAATAAACTTGCATTCAATCTGTGTTTCAGAAAACCCAAGCTGGACTGGAGCGAATCAAATCAATACATAGTTTATAAAAGGATTTTCTGCATATTTCACCTAAAAATTTAAAATATTTTAGTGTGCACTAGGACAGTGTGATTAAGGATTATGTGAATTTGAAAACTAGATATCGCACCTAGTACTAAACAACTCCGATCTTTCTTTCTTACTTTTCATCTTAAGAGTCCCCTCTATTTGTAGTAAAATGTTAGACAGTTGATATATAATACCTTGTTATTAGTTGGTCTTCACATAAGACACACCAACACACTTGGGGCTCATTGATTGGATGTACGTATCTGACCTGGGATAACCAATCAGTTTAGAGCTTAATTCTGTTCTTTCTTGCACACTTTGGCCTGACATTTAAAGGACAGGTTCCAGTTTCTCTGCTGGTTGGTCCTTCTCAGGGTCGCAAAGGGAGCTGGAACCAAACCACCCATTCATCTGAGGATGGCCAAATAGAGAAATATAATATACAGACAGACATCTACTCAGACCTCTGGTCAATCTGGAGTGGTCAAGTGTATCGGCTGCAATCCTGTTGTTAAAGGTTAACCACCGTAGGAAGAGAAAGTGTGTGGTTGGGAAGAGAAGCAGACTAATTTACTGAATTAAACTGGCACGTCATGAAACATTCCCAGATTTAAAACGTGTTTATAGCTTGGCACAGCTTGCTGTATGGCAACGGTGATGTGATGAAAAAAAACTCAGCAGTGAAAACTCCAAGTCGGACATTCCAAGTTGAGTTGTAGTGTGAATAATTAGGTTATAAATCTGTGGATGTGATGACAGTAATAGTTTATGCGTTGAGAGCTCACAGTATAAATGTGAATAAGGCAGAGTCAGGCTCCAGTGAAGCCACAGAAGAGCTCAAACAGGGAGAGTTGTGTTGGAACTCTTTCGCTTCAGGATCAAGATAGGAGACCTTGAAGTCAGGGGTCTCTTGGGACGAGCTGAGGGCTGAGATGTGCACTCTCTGGGGCACTGACACATTTCTTTTCCTCTATATGCCTATGAGAGGAGGAGCTACAGTGTCTCTTACTGCAGCCCAGAGCTTTTATTATGCAATTCATCATTTTCAAAGAGAGACAAAAGCTGATGCAAGAAGTGGAGGAAGTGAAGAGGTTGTAGAATAAAACTACAGTAATTGTTATTTTTATTTATTTATTTTGTCCTGTTTACTGTTTCTTATAAGCAATCAATATTTCTAGCAGGACTCACTGACAAAATCACAAAGGCAGAGATTTATCTTGAGGTCTCTGTGCAAAACAATTTGGAATGAACTTTTAATGAACTAGTGTTTATTAAAAAAAACATAACTCTGGAAAATAAAGAACTCAGAAAACAATGATTTACTCTAAGCACTTATTGTGATCAGAAGCCCATAAAAACTTAATATAAATGAAATCTTGTTTCTATTTTTTATAATTGTATACTGGACAATGGACTGTTATTTATATCCCATAAAAATTTAATATACATGAAATCAGCCATGTTTCTATTTTTTATAATTGTTATACTGGACAATGGACTGTTATTTATATTTTATTAATGTCCAGCTGAGCCTTGCTTAAAAGCTCTATAATTTGTTTGTCTTTCCACTGAAATTTCACTGTCTTTCCACTTGATTAACAACTTAAGATTTTTTCAGTTTAGCTAAATCGCTGATTAAAAATGCTGTGTCAAGCACAGTCATGACAAAAAATGAGGACATTCTCATTAAATCGTCTAAAATGAACAAATGTAGATATCTCATTTTTAAGTCATGTATTATACACATCGAAACAATAATCAAAATATTAAAGAAAGTCGTACAGGAACAGAGATAAACCGAGGAGAATCTTGTGAAAAGGTAATAAAGATTTGCGTCATTCACATCAATTTTATGACTTGAACACTCGTCCATGGTGACAAAATGACTTTTAGGCTGGCATGGAAAGAAACTCAGGTCAGTAAAACAGTTCTGAAAGACTAACTGCTCTTCAGTTACATTTTCATTCGGGAAAAAGTGCTGAATTACTATTTTACTCAGGATGATCTTCCTGTCTGTCATCTTCAGCTCAGTGGCAGACTAACCAATCATGTTTTTATATTCAGCTGCTTCTCTCTGTACGTTGATTTAAAAACTCAGTAATTGGTGCGATGAATTTTATTTAATAAAGACACATTTTAGTCCAACCCCAACGTCCTAAGAATGATTGATCGATTGACCTTTTTCCTCCTCTGTTACCACAGGAACAACAGAACGAGTCTGTCTGATACAGGGTACAGTCGAAGCCCTCAATGGAGTCCACAACTTCATCGCAGAGAAAGTCCGCGAGATGCCCCAGAGCGCCCAGAAACCAGAGCCTGTTAGCATACTGCAGCCCCAGACCACAGTCAACCCTGACCGTGTCAAACAGGTGAGATACAGTACAGTCAGTCAGACTGTGTGTGTGTGTGTGTGTGTGTGTGTGTGTGTGTGTGGTCTAATGTCAGAAACAACAGTTTACTAGGAGGCCACCTTATCTATTACCCGTTGCCTGGGCCGTGACCCACAGTCTAGTAGGGTCAGGAAAATGTGAGGGTGTGTGGTTATTTTTACCAACAGTCTTTCATAGCTAGACAGAGCCATGTGGCAGCTGCATCCTAAACCCCTGGGATTAACGAATGGCAGAGTAAAGCCGGGGCTGCTGGTTCTTTGACTCCGTGTGATATATCCTCCTATCTGACTGCCTTGTTTTTTTTTGCCTTTCCTCTATAACATTTATTGCTACTTCATTTTTTTATTTTTTCTACAGGCCAAACTTATTGTGCCCAATAGCACAGCTGGGCTGATCATCGGTAAAGGTGGCGCCACAGTAAAAGCAGTCATGGAGCAGTCAGGGGCCTGGGTGCAGCTCTCACAGAAACCGGAAGGCATCAACCTGCAGGAACGAGTAGTAACCATCAGCGGTGAGCCCGAACAGAACCGCAAGGCCGTGGAAATCATAGTACAGAAGATCCAGGAAGACCCCCAGAGCAGCAGTTGTCTCAACATCAGTTATTCCAACGTCTCAGGCCCAGTTGCCAACTCCAACCCCACAGGCTCCCCCTATGCTAACACTGCTGAGGTCCTGCCCAACGCAGCTGCAGCAGCTGCCACTGCGTCCAGTCTTCTGGGTCAGGCCGGTCTAACGGGAATGGGTGCGTTCCCCGCTGCCATGTCCACTTTCTCTGGCAACGATCTTTTGGCCATAACGTCAGCCCTCAACACACTGGCCAGCTATGGCTACAACACTAACACCCTTGGTCTCGGTCTGAACCCTGCAGCTGCCTCTGGAGTCCTCGCTGCAGTAGCAGCCAGTGCAAACCCAGCTGCTGCTGCTGCAGCTAACCTGCTGGCCTCCTACGCAAGCGATGCTTCCGGCAGTGCAGGCCACCCTGCCACAGGTCTCGGTGGTTTCTCCCTTGGTTCTCTAGCAGCTGCTACAGGGGCTTCCAATGGTTACCTAAATGCCTCATCTCCACTGATGGCGTCCTCTCTTTTGGCAACAGAAAAGCTAGCTGATGGGGCCAAGGACGTGGTTGAGATTGCAGTTCCCGAGAATCTGGTGGGTGCCATTTTAGGGAAAGGAGGGAAAACGCTGGTAGAGTACCAGGAGCTAACAGGAGCCCGAATCCAGATCTCCAAAAAGGGAGAGTTCATTCCTGGTACTCGGAACCGTAAAGTTACCATAACAGGGTCACCGGCCGCTACACAAGCAGCGCAGTATCTAATCAGCCAGAGGATCACGTACGAGCAGGGTGTGCGTGCTAACAACCCACAAAAGGTGGGCTAAAAAGAAGAAGAAAAGGATAGAAGGAAAGGATGAAGACAGAGATAGAAAGGAATTGAGAGGGCCACAGTGAATAGAAAAAAGAAATGTCCAAATATCTGTTCAATATTTCGGTATCAAATGAGAGAATCCTTAAGGAGGAGGTGGGGGAGACAACCAAGATAAGTGTGTGTGATATGTGAATGTGTTTTCAGGACTGAAGTCCTGATGTTTTTTAAAAGTTTGTGTCGATTCCTTTTGACGATGGTGATCAGAGTAAGCTGAACTGGTCCACTGCCAAGTTGCAGATTCTAAGGGGTGGGGCCACAGGGTCTCACTCTCCTCCAAAACCTCATAGCTGTTTTATTTTGTTTCTCCTTTTTTTTTTTTTTTTTTTTTTTGGTTTTTTTGGTTTCCACTTTCGTTGTTTTCCCCACCCCCCGGGGTTTTTTTTTTTTTTTTGTTGGGTTCTGTTGGTTTCCACTTCAGTTGCTTACCTCAGCTCCCGGTGAGTTGAGCATGTCAGATAACAGTCAGATAAGACGTCAGCCAGCTGAAGCGCTGATCTATAAACCTCGCTCTTTGTGTACAATGCAAAAAGGCATTGTTAACAGGGACAGGTTTTATGACAAGCACCTGAGGTCATCTCAATCTGTGGGGAAGCAATCGAAGTATATTATTATTTCTACGTTCGTACACAGTGAATTCTGGCTCATACCATAATTGAAGTTTTTAAAAATTTAATTATATTATATTTTTATCCATTATTTATTGATATGGTCTCATTCAAACACAAAACGGTTATTTAAACCTGCGAGTGCGGGTTGATCTGAATGTAAACGCATTATTAACCTATTGCTGTTATTTTATTTACAGGGATCAAAAATTGTTTTGCAGTGAAAGAAATGTATAACTCAAACCCAGTCTGAACTTAGCTGTTGCTGTCTGCAAGAAGAGTTCAGGGGTTCAAATAATCAATGTGAGAGGACAGAGGAGACACACAGGAATGTATAAATGTATATGTATACAAAGATACATGAATAATGCTCCCACAAACGCACAAACAGAGACACATTTGCATATCCAGCCACAGCTAAAAACACACGGAAAAATATTTGTTGTTAAACCCTTTATTGGTGCTATAGGGATAGGTTTTTATCTCCATTACCATGAAATCAGAATCTCTCTGGAGGCTAATCTCTATGTTTATTATCATACAAGAAAAAAAGGTGACGTGTAGTCCAGCAATTAGTAGTCAACTGGATCAGACACAGCCTTCTTTAATGGATTTAGGCTGATTACTGCACTTTGTGGTGCAACAATGGAGTGTCAATACTCAAGGCCCATGTCAACTACCAATGCAGGTCTGCTTTTTTTTCTGTTTCTTTTTTCTTCTAAATACTCGGCCCATAGTGAGATTCAGTCCGACGTTACTTTTACCTCAGTCACAAATTCTAACTTAAAGCTCAGTCTACAAATATGCAGTGTCCAACTATTTGAGATCACAAAGCACTACAGAAGCATTTTTGCTTTAAAAAGCTGTATGAACCAATATCTGTGAGCAAAGAAACCATTGCCTTTACATTAAGGGTACCAAATACACAAGAGACGTGAACTAATGAAAGGGAGGTCGATTTGAAAAAGGAAAAAAAACTGAGTTATTCAGTGAGCCTTTCTTCCCACTTTGCATCAACACTTCCTAACTTGAAGTGGAGCACATAATAAAATGTACCATAATGTTTTGGCATCATTGTCTGTCATGGGCAATTGTTTGCCTAATGCAGGGAGGTTAATTGTCTAGAGCATTTACTAGCACGAAGAGACTAACTTGGCTTCCTTCTGTGCTGCTATTCATGGTGTTCATCCTGACTACACTGGGTCTCTGAAGACTGCACTGTGAGACATTCAGAACACAATGTAAAGCATGTTTGTCCCTGCTTGAGATGTGAGTATTTTAATGTGCACATTTGTGTCACATACACAACGAAACCTACCAATATTAACATTGAAGATATTTTCACGAGAGCATCTCTACTCCACCGTCCGGTGATGTTTCTGTTTTACCAGCACCAATGCACCACACATAATTTAGCAGGCATTTTCAGCGAAAAACAGCGAAACCACAAATTTTTTCCCATCACAGTCTCCTGTACTGTTATTCTCTAGCCCTGTTACGTCCACTGTCTACAGGCATTTCAAAATTGTCCCCATCAACCCAGGCTCTATGATCAGCTTCCTGACAACATGGCTGTGAGGGTTGGTGCTGAGTAGTGTCCAAGTAAAGTCAAAGTCGATTTTGGTTTATTTTTCTTAATTGAAAAAAAAAGCATTGTCTTTTTTCATTTTCATTAATTCTCCTTTGTAGTTCGTAGATTTGCAACAAATGCAACAACAAGCCTTTCTTTCGCTGTGCGTCTGGAAGGCTCTGCTGTCACCCATAACTACAATGTGGCCACCGGTGAAACCATAGTGTAAATTAACCTTTTACTGCCCAAGATTTTAGCATACAATAAGATACAAGCACAATATGGGGGTGTTTAATCAATGCAACTGGACTGCTCGCCTGATCGATACTGATCAATATGTCGTGCCAAATACTATTTCTCTTTGCCCTTCATTAGCTTTCCTCTTTCTCTCAACATTTTATTCCCCTGCATGTTGCTGTTTTCTCACCATTTTGCAGCGTCCCGCTGTCTCCCGAACCCTGTCTGTGCTCCTCACCCTACGCCGTGCTCTCTCCCCCTCTTTCTCCTTCCTCCTGTCTCGTCTTCTCATGGGCAGTGTGTCGGGCGTGCTGCTGCTGCTGATGCTGCTGCTGCTGCTAGAGGGAGTTATGCACTACAGGTCATAAGGGTATGAAGATATTTCCCCAGGCCGCTAAAGTTCACAAGGCTAAAATGCACAGAAAACACCTGCCTCCAAAACTGTGACAGCAACTACACCAACCAGCAACATTTAGTTGAAAAAAAAAAACAACCCTAATTCCCTCTTTAAGAAGAACAAGTAGAATTTGTAAAGGTTTAGACTGTGAACCTTGGCCTTTTAAGGGAATAGAAAATGTTCTTTTGTTTGTATGTTTGATTTTCCCAGCAGGAGGCAGATCATTTGAAAAGATACTCTAATGTTGGCTGAAAAAAAAAAAAAGCATAGTGAGGGCAGAATGCAAATGATAGTGCGTGTTAGTTTTGGAACTTGTTTGTGACCTCAAGCCGAAAAACAATGACATCCTTTATGCATATCCTCTTATCTGAAAATGACTAGAATCCATATCTGTGGAATACAATATGTCATGTCATATGATCTATATGTACTTTATTGTAGCTATTCTAGTTTGTAGTCCAAATGCAGTCCAGCGTTGTCGATACAATGTGAACTATGTTATATTCGTGTGGATGATGAGAGTGCCAACTAAGCCTGATTAAGATTAGCTTCGCAATTTGTTTGTGCATTATGATGACAACTCATCATCAGCTGGTGGTGTCCATATTTCTGTCATTGATGATTTAGTTTGACAGTAAGAAAATGTAAAGAATATTGGAAGCAATATAGTAGCATGTTGTCCTGTTTTGTGTTTTATGTCTGTTGTATGAACCTTTGAAATTACTAAGATTTTGAATGAATAGGGTTTACATGTACTTTTTGTAAGTTATGAAAATGCTGCTATTTGATAAGTAAACTATACAAAATATTTTAGTTGAAAAGATGTCTGGTCTGTTGATTAGAAACATGCTCTGAAGAGGCTGGAGCATAAAACGAGGTGTATAGAATACTATACAGTATTGGTAAGATAGTAAAGTAATAATAGAACTCCATAGTACAACCTGTGCCAAACTAGACCTCTGCAGCTTCTGAAATTGTAAATGTGCGATCAAATGTTAGATATCAATAACTTGTTTAGAAGTGCTGATCAAGTGCCAATCAAACACTGTCTTTTAAGTTAAGAAAAGATAATCAAATACATTACGTAAGAAAACAAAGGACAAAGAACTTTTCGTGCATCGTTTTTATCTCATAGGTACATAGATAAAAGTTAAAGATTGTGATTTTTATGGATCCATGTTGTTTTACACTCCATGCATCCCTTGTGTGTTTGTTTGACCTGTGGCTTAAGTACTGCTGTTTTCTCACAAAATGTCTCTATAGGCCAGCATGGACTAAGCATAACATGTTATAAGCATTCATAACATAGTCATTAACAATCAAAATGTGTTCGTGGAGTTAGGTGTTATCTTTTTGCACGTCTTCTATTGCATGGTATCAAAGTAAATTATGGAGAAAAAAAAACTACAAAAATTATGCGAGGTGTCTCGCAACATTCAGAGACATAACACTGCATGCAGTCAAATGTAAAGCACTTGAGTTTTACTCACCTCATGATTTTCTTTAAAAAAAAAAAGTTTTTTTTTATGTTGTTCGATGGGAGGGAGCTCATTACTGTCATGTTGGCCAGAAAAAAGACAGACACACACACATAAACAATTAAGATCAAGTCCATATCAGTTTATCAAGTTCACTTTTTAGACATCATCAAAGATGTGTTCATTTTTAGGAACAGTGAGGAGAAATAAAAATGTGAAACAAGCAAACGTGAAAATGTTATCCAGTGCATTGGCTCCTTGTGTTTTCTTTGTTTTTAATCAGGCATTAGGCGTTTGTTTTTACAAACAGGTTGAACCTCATATAACCTGTCCCACGATGGTCTTTGATTTGATTTTGTTTTTTTTAATTACACAACTTGAAAGCCCAGATCTAATCTATGAATGTACTCATTTACTCTCTCTTTTTTTTTTCCCTTATCTGTCGAATGTTATCAGTCTACAATGTAAATTCAGGGCAGGATTGTCAAATACATGTAGAGTTTAATCTATGTCAATATCAGATTTCAGCTATAGTCAGGTAGGCCGCACACGGCCGCAGTCACGAAACCAGATATTTTTAACACAACTTCTGATTCGCTGTCAACATTATCTTGTTTGTTTGGTGTTGCATAAATGCACTTTACTGAGAAGTGGTCATGTTGGCTGTGAAAAAACAAGCAACTCATGTTGACTTTTTATGGTTGGTTTTGCTTTTTTTCACCTTTTATTTCCTTGCCATTCTTTGCTGTTACACCAATGTTACCCTTTTTTCAACATTTGATTTACTCCCTTATCCTGTTGGATCTAACGAACGATGGAAAGGGCTGGAGTCTCAGACAAAACAGAAACATTGCACCTTGCCCCCACCTGAAGGCTTCTCCTTCACATTCCCTTCAGCGGAGGCTCGTGTCAATCACCGATTGCTGTATTCCGGACTGACAGGTGAAACTTTGAGGGATGTATACTTTTTTTTTCTTTCCTTTTTTGATTGCCTTTGTTTGAAAAAACAAAAACTATGATTTGAAGAGGTTTTATTTAAAGCACTCGTGTG